GTTTCTACTTTTCCCATTTGTTTAATTGCTTGTCCTACATAGTGGTTTCTTTCTGTTGTTGTTCTGGGGATTCTGTCATTTTTTTTTTTATCTCTGTCTAGTCTGTCTTTCAACATTCTTTCTAGGGTTGGTTTGGTGGACATGAATTTCTTCAGTTGCTCTTTGTCATGGCAGTATCTTGTTTCTCCATTAAATCTGAATGAAAGTTTTCTGGGTACATCAGTCTGGGTAGAAAGTTGTTTTCTTTAGGACTTGAACTACCTCACTCCAAGCTCATCTTGACTTGAGGGTTTGTGCTGAAAAATCTGCCAGTATTCTAATGGTCTTTCCTTGATAGGTGAGTTGTGTCTTTTCTCTAACAGATTTTAGTATTGTTTTTATGCTGCATGTCTGGGATCTTATTTATGTGGTTGTGATTGTTTGGAGTTCTACATGCTTCTCTGATCTGCATATCATATTTTTTCCCCATCTTTGGGAAATTCTCTGCTATTCTGTGAATATTTTAGTTATGTCATTTGCATTGACTCCTGCATTGTTACTGATGCCTATTAGTCTTATATTGTTTCTCTTGGCATCATCTTGAAGCTACTGGATTGTCACTTCATGCTGCTTTATTTTTAAAAGTTCTATCCTTTTATGATTGCTAATTGCAATCCTGTCCTCACGATCCAAAAGTCTATTCTCAGCTTCATTTAAATGGTTTTGCCAGCTTTCAATTGAATGTTTTGTTTCTTGGATGTCTCTTTTAGTTTGTTTCCTAAACTGCTTGTTTTCTATATTGTTCATTCAAGATTTCAATCAGTTTCCCATGCTCCTGTACTTTTTTTTATCTATTTCTTTTCTAGCTCCACTGAGCAACTCCTTTACTAAGGTTGTTATTTCTGTCTTTACATGAGACATTAATTCTAGTTTGATTTCCCCTATAGTGTCATGAAATTGTTTTTTTATTTCACTTGCTATCTTTTCAGAGATTTCCAGTGTGTTACTTTTGAAATGCTCTATTTTATTATCTCCTGTACTTGCCCCTGCTGGACTAGATATTTGAGATTGCATGTTGCTTTTTCATTTTGCCATTTTCCCCTTTTGGGTTAATATTTGGTTCTTCAATCCCACGAGTGTCAATCCCACGAGTGTCAATTGTGTATCCTATTGTAAGGTGAATGTTTGTCCAATTGCTGGGTCCCACAATGAAGAGGTGGGCCAGTCATCTGAATGCTCCCTGTAGGGCCTGTTGGTGAAGCCCTATATTATTCCTAGGCTTACAAGTTTAGGAGTACTGATGGAAATCAACCCCTAGTTCCTGATGTTATACCTTCAGGTTGTTCAGTCACCAGAACTCCGTTTATAGTGTTTGTCTCAGCTGGGACTCTACTGTTCCCTCAACCTACGCTCCTCCACCTACCTGATATTCTCTGTGTGGAAGAAGAACTCACCCACCCACTTGCCAAGCTCACCTATGGCTGACTTCTGGAGGCAGCTCCTCTATTGCTCCTGTTTACCCACTGAAGGTGGTAAAGTTTATTCCTATTTTAGGGGCAAACTCACCTCACTGATGGAAGCCTTCTGAGTTCTTACTGAGTCTCCCCTTGACACTGCATGGTTAATTCACTGTAGTCCAAGGATCTGGGGGTAGATGTGGCAGCCAAACATCAACAGCAATATTAGGTCCAGGAGGTGGGGGGATTAGGTCCCCCATGGCAGCAGTGGGACTGCGGGGGTGTGTATCACAGGTTGGAGTTCCTAGGTCCTGAGGTGAGTGGCCAGGACTGCAGGACATGGGAGGGGCCCAGTTCTGGCCTGGCCCCATGTGCGCCACTGGCTGGAGTTCCTGGGTCCTGCAAGGTCATCTGCAGAGATTGCAAGAGTCACAGGAGGGGCCTGGGTCTAGCCCAGGGTCTAGCCCGTGTGTGCTGCTGGCTAGAATTCTCAGTATTGGGGGGGGGTACTGAGGATCAAAGTCATAACCTCATGCTTGCCAGGTAGGCACTTGTGCTGCTGAGCTAAATCCCTTGCCCCTTCAGTATTATTTTCTTCAAGAAAATGTCACTGTATAGTACTTTTCAGAGGTGATGCATACAGTTTCTAGATACACATACAAATCTAACATCTGTTATTGCATGGGATTTTACCTGAGGTGTTACCTTTGGTGCCCTTAATCTGTGCACTAGAAGTAGCTAGACTAGGTCATATGGGAAATTCCTGGAAATACTAACATTCAGAGATCCTAAAAGATCTGTCAAATATTTGAATCATGCTATCCAATGCATAATTTATAACTTTTTTCTTACTAGAATTGAGATGAGTGTGTTTCATTCTGTTGGATATTTGAGGCATATAAATTGAAAGACTTTATTGAGCACCTATAAAGCACTGGCCTTACTTTCCCATGTATCTGTGCCTTGTGTTTTTACTGCAAAATGTCTCACTATCCACACTGCAGATTAGAAGTCAGTTTATTTTACATTTACCTACAATAAATCAAAATTTCCATTGTGAAACCAATGTAACTACAATGCCTCCAATCAAATAAAATCTTGGCAAATTTAAGGCTTACATTTATAAAAGGCAGGTTAGACTGATAGCTACTTTTCTTATTGCTGCGACAAAATAATACCCAAAGTTAAATGAGGAAAGGTTTATTTGACTCACAGTTTGTAGAGGTTCCAGTCCATAACTGACTGGCTCCAAGGTGGGGTGGTCTAACAGACACCACAGAGGGGAAATACTTCACAGCAGGCAGAAGGTAGCAAAGAAAGTGAGGCATGATCACAGTTCTTTCAATCCCTTAATCCTAGCATTGCACCATGAATCAATCCCAGTGTCACACACTCTAGATTCAGTCACCTCTGAAAACCCTCACAATGACTGCACATGGCTTTGAGAAGACATCTAGACAGAAACCATAACAGACCATACTTCTATAACTTCCTAATTAGCAATTTATGTAACTTCACCCAATTTTAAAAATCTACTTCCATTTGTAATGGAGCACATTGCATCCAAATATTTCAGAAAGCATTAGGCAACAGAAGTTAGGCCTCTGCGTGTGCTAAATACTGTGCTAGGAACATCTGCAGGTATTTTATTTAATTCGAACAATCACATAAGGTAAAAGTAGGTAATATGATTTTAAGTAGAAGAAAGTCAGATTAAAGACAATTAATAACAACTCTCTCTTTAGGTGGAAAATAGTTGGACCAGAAAAAGTTCCACTCCTATGCTCCAAAACCTTTCATGCATTTTAGCTTCTTGAAATCATTATCCTTTAAATAGTAGCAGTTAATATTTCTGTATTTTTGTTGAACTTAATAAAGACAGACATCCTTCTGAGACAAAGAATGTAAAGATACAAAAAGCTGAATCCATTGGGCAACTAACCTGAAATCCTGCATGCAACATCTCAGGATCTCTTCAACATTTACATGGAAGAGGAGCGACAGCATCAGTAAATAGTGAACTAAAGGACTTTCCATGTCCACCTTCAGCTGGTACAGAAATGGCCCCACTAACGCCTTGACTCCCCTATCCTGATGCGACTTCATTTTCAGACTCCCTTGCAGTCTTTTGCCTCCTTGTCACCTGCTTGTCAAAAGTTCAACTTTGATACCTCTATTTTATTATGCTATTACATTCTTTTATGAGTATGAAATTCAGGTTGAAAATTACTGATGTGAAATAAAGGTCTCAACTATAATTAAGCTCAGCCAACAACAGAATTCAAAGTGGTCCCAAAAGTGTATTTAACTTCAACAAAACTTTGGTGTTGACTGGACATGGTCCACGGAGGAAAGAGAAAGTATTAAAAGCACAAAGGATTGGAAACTTTTTACTGATTATTGGAGCTAAAGGGTGGATGAATGCTTGAAAGTAGTTTTTGTTCTCTGATAATATAATATCACCTCTGCAGCATTTAAGCCAGCTGTTAAGTTTGTATGTAAGTTTTAGTAAATACTGCTAATTTCACACGTTTTGGGAGAGGGGAAGCTTTATGGTGAGAACGAGAGAAGGGAAACAACGAAAATATATATAACCAAACCAAATTCTTCTGTACTGAGTTCTCAAAGTGATTGTAAAAAATAGGGAAAAGGTTATTAATCTCCATCCAAAAAATCTATTGGATTCAAAGCATTCAAAAGACTTACAGTAGATTTTTGTTCAATTGTTTACTGTGGATAAAATATATTAAAAAATTTTAGCCAGAATTTTGAAATAAAAATCTTTGCAGCTTCTAAGGGCATCTGCCTATATATGAGTAATGATCATCATAAGACATTTTAAAAAGACATAGTATCAAGATTTTGTTACCCAGGAAGTAGGACTTTGGGCATAGGAGTTAAGGGACTTAGTATTTTGGCCTGGAAATGTCCAACTTTAAATCTTTATAATTACTTTAAAAGAGTACTGTTTCTAGTACTCATATCTGGAAGCCTATGAAATTTTCAATTCTCCCTCAAACAAATACTCCACTTGTATACAGACCTTTCTAGGAAAATAACTGTGGCACTGTCCCTTCAAAAATGACATGCACTCACACTTTGACTATACCTGAATCCAAGCAAGGAATGTTCTATCTTCAGTTTAACACAGAGTGTGTTCCTTGGCTTCATTGGCATAGGCAGTTCTGTGGCTCCTACTGAGTTATGTATTATTACTGTATTTACGGTTGCCTAGAGGATTGAGTGTTTGCAAGAACTGCTTCAGTCCAAGTGTCATAGATACCTCAACAGAGGGCTGGGGAGAAGTTGCTAATATGATCTAATGGCTGTAAGTTGCAAATTCCCTTAAAAGCCAGAGCTGCCATTACATAGATGCTCACAGCAAAGAACTCTCCAGCCCAAATGCCAACAGTGTGAGCCTGAGAAACCTTGAGTTATTCACATAAGTACATGGGGGTACAGGTGAGATAGGGAGACAGTTAGGACAAAAAATACTGAGGTTTTCTTTCACAAAAATGTCACATTCTGGCTGCATTTTTTAAAGTATGAAGAGTGGACACAATATTTGTATTTAAATATTTTTATTTCACAAAAAAGCAACAGTGTTTGCAGTTACACATGCCTTTCGATCAGTGCTGGTCATATGCAAAACAAGTTATCAGAAATATAAAGAAAAATAAGCTTTTCCCTTTACAAGTGAAACAACACAATTTGCATATACAGTATTATATATACATATTTTTAAAATCTTTCACAAAAGACAGGTTTTTATTATACAAATTTAGAATTCCATCCACAAGCTCAGACTGAAGGAATTAAGTATCTCTATAGGTGTCTAAATACAAAGATGTAATACATTTACAGTTTTCCAAGTAATTACTTTCCAAGTATTGAAGGAGACTTCTTCACAGCAACATGGAACACTTGGCTTTAATCAAGGCAGCTGTGAGACTCAGGTTTGTCTCAACATGAGCTTACTGATTAATGCAAATACTCCAATTATGCTGTAATTCTCATTTTATACACAAACACACAAATGCATTACTGTACTGATGGTTTACACAGTCCGATTTCTGGAGCATTTCATTCAGCTAAGCCATGACCTTTACCCCCTTTGAAGTATTTCAAATAAAAACTGTTCAAAAATATCACTAATGACTACCATGACTAATTCCAAAAAGGTGCCCCTTTCTCTTACTTATGATCAAAGTTAAATGTGTCATGAATAAAAGTTATTTTTTTTTACAGCAGCAAGTATAAGTAATAGCAACATATAGGCTAATTTTTCAACAGTAGAACCTGAGAGTTTGATATAGCAAATAACATTTTGATAATTTTCTAGAAGTCCTATCAATGTTTCTTAAATAAGATATGGCAAATCTTCAGCACGGAATAGTATCACTACACATGTGAAAATAAACAATGCTAAAATGCTAAAAAAAAAGAAGGGAGGGAGGCTTACACATGCATTTGCTTTGATTTGCAGACAAATGTGTAGTCATAACATTTACCATGTGCTGGATGAAGAGACAATGTGAAATATGATACAAGAATGCTCAAAGCAAGCATACAGGCCTGGATGAATGAAATGCACACAAAAATGCAAGAGTAATGTGGCAGCATTAGTTTAAATTTTTGAGTGCAATTGAAGATAACATTTAACAGTTCAGGGATTCCAGACAAAAGGGAAAAAAGAGAGAAATGGTTCGGCTAATGGAGAATGGATGGAGGAGAGAGATGCAGCCACACAAGAGCTCTGGGTAGGAAAGGGCCAACATGTTCCGCCTCATGTGGGTGTTGAAAGAGAGAAAGGGCTTGTGCCAAAAATTTCTTTTGGGTTACTTTTCAGGCCCACGTTGTCATTCACCAGAGCAATGACAGTAACTCAAAAGGTTCATTCCAAGAATAAGTCATTTCTACTGGATACTCAAGAATATGCTACTGATGGAACTGCACCAGAATTTTGTAGATGAATCCAATTCCAGGCCACAAAAAAAAGCTACTCTTTAATCTCTTCAAATGAGTTGTTGGGAAACTACTGCTGGCTTATCAGCTCCAATGGCTTACCAGTTACTGAAAGATTAACCAGCAAGGAAGTTAAAACACACTTTTACTCAGCACTGTCTTCTGCCTCCATGATATTTACAAAAGTAGAGGACCCTTTTAACTATCTCATTCAGCTCAACACAAAAAGTGCTGGGCCTGATTAGCTTTCACAGCTCAACCATATCCAATGTCCTCTCCAGTCGGACTTGCTGCATGCCTGAAGCCATTAGTTACACTACCACACTGCCACACCTTCAAGCCAGATGGCTGGAACCTAGTGAGCCTGTACTATTAGTGACATTTAGAGCCCTGCAAAGGATTAAATATTAAGGGGAAATGATGATGGGGAGAACAAATTACAAACATAGATATAGATACAGATCTCCTAGGAAATAACCACAAAGCAACTATACTAGCTATTGCTAAATGAGAAAATATGTGAGAAAGGAAGACGTGCTCTGTCATATTATGAAACTATTTTCATTAGGTCTTCACACAGCCATGCAAAGAAATAATACAAAATGAAATAAGGAAATAAAAATAGATTTGCACATATTCAGAATACCAAAAATATATATCCTTCCAAGACAAATAAGTAAAGTAACATAAAACTATTCTACTATTGCCTAGACAGGCAATCAGGGGAAGGGGAGAATGGGAGATTTGTCATACACTGATCCTCGATTTTCATTGGGTACCTCTATATCCATGCAAAGGACTGAGTACCCAATCAATAAGATAAAGATATTTACATACATTTAAAAAGGATTATATGCCCTATTTCCCCTGTTACCTACCCCAATATCCCTCCCCACAAAAAAAACCCCAAGTTATAAAATGATTGCCCCTAAAGGCAATGAGGGAAGGGGAGCAGAGGAGAGTTATCATACGTCTGGACCGCCATATTTCATTATGTATCTAAAGTCCCAGCAAAGGACTGGGGTCTACAAGAAATAACACACAGAATATAGCAAATATTTATATACATTGAAAAACATATATGCATACAACCAAGACCTGCATCCCAAAAAGAAATCAGACATCTATTCTATCATTGCCCAGCAGGCAATCAGGAATGGGGAGTATTGGAGATTTTTCATAGAATCAATCTCAATGTTCATTAGCTACCTACACAGTCATGCAAAAGACTAAATTCAAAATGAAATTAATGCCCAAAAAGGGCAAAAATATATATGTACACACATTTTAGTTTAATATATACATATGTAATGAAATATAAATATTTTCTAACAAAGAAATTCCCCATTAAAAACTGAAAAAAAACTAAAAACACAAATCAAGTCCTGCAGTAATCACACACTATCCCCTATGTACCCAGGGTACAGGAGAAGGGAAAAAGCTGGACCACACCTCTGGGTCCAAGCCGCTCATTACATTTGATACCTAAAAGTTTAAAGGAAAAACATGTTTGGGAGTGAAATAATGAAAAAAGTAACACATTTTTATATACACTAAAAAAACACGAGCCCCAAATCCCCACCCCAATCCTTGACAAAGAAACCCAAACAACTATTCTACTAGCCATTGCCCAGTCAGGCAATAAGGGAAGGGGAAGAGTGGGATTTTTTCATAGAATGAACCTTAGTTTTCATTATGTACTAAGTGCCCACAGGAAGGACTAGGTACAAAATGAAGTGCCAGAAAAAAGGAGCAAAAGCATTTATATACAGATACAGAAGTACATACCTGGTTTTTCTAGATGAGTGAAGTTTTAAAAAATCTACGCTACTGTACAACTATTGCCCATAGAGGCAATAAGGAAAGGGGAAAAGAGGAGATTTTCATACATCCGGACCTCCATGTTTCTTTAGGTACCTCTATGTCCACGCAAAGGACTCGGTACAAAATGAAGTAACTAGTAACACACACACACACACAATTATACACATTTTTAAAAATGCACACATTCTATTAGCCACCCCAACTTAAAAAAACTCAAAGTATTTTAAAACTATTGCTCACACAGATCAAAACGAAGAGGGAGTAAAGGAGGCTGTTACACATCTGGAGCTCTACAGTTCATCAGGAAGCCACAGTCCAAGGAAGGACTGGCACCCAAAAGATGCTCCAACAGAAGTAAAAACACACACATACATTTAAAAAAGCATACACCCAACACTCACACAAGCCCTGAAACTATCAACTACTCTACTAGACACTGCCCACATAGGCAGTATAGGGAAGAGGAGAAGAGGAGACTTGTCATAGAATGATCCTCAATTTTCTTCATATATCCATGTAAAGGACAGATATGAAGTAAAGAAAAAACTATAAAAACATGTATATACATTTTAAAAGTATTTTATTCTTACTCTGCAACCACTTTTCTACTCTTGCAAGAAACTTGAGCTACTCTAGAAGGTATTGCCCAAAGAGGCAAATAAGGGAAAGGCAGAAGGGGAGACTTGTTATACATCGGGAACTCTATGTTTCAATTAGGTACCTTCCTCTGGGTACCCAAGAATTAATACAATATAGCACTAAGAACATTTATGTACATAAATACAAACATTAAACATACTTTCCTGCTTCCCCCATCTCTTCTGCCCACCCCTTAAGACTCAATTATTTACTGCCTCCAAGGCAGCAGAGGTGAGGGAGGAGGAGCAACTGTCAGGCATACAGACCTCTACATTTCCCTAGGTACTTTCACAGCCATGAGAGGGATAATGTAGTAGCAAGTGTGTTTATCTATACCAAGGACATTCTCACTCTCTCCTACATCCAAACAAAACTCATCTATGATCTATTACCTAAAGAGGCGATAAAGGAAGAGATATGCCATTCTCTGGACCCCAATTTTCATTAAGTATGCATGCATCCATGAAAGAAACAAGAATAAAATGAAACATTAAGAAGGGGCAGAACATTTACATACACTTGAAAGAATGGCAGACAACCTAATTCCTCAAGCCAGATGAAAACAACAGCTGCTGTGACTGCTCTGTTAGTTCTGTCCATGCAGCAGTAAGAAGCCTGGTGAACGCCACAAGGCCACCCTGTGGACTGCCCAGGGTTATATGCATGTCCACAAGACTGGGGAAGTCCAAAGCAAAGCAACACTCACACCATAGGAGCAAAATCATTTGCACACACTTTTAAAAGAAGTTGTCTTCCCAACACAACTGCCTCCTTTCAAAAAATGAAAACCAATCTGTAACTACTTTGTAACTATTGCCTGTAACCGGTGACATACAAAGGGGAGATTTTCATTAGACAGTATTTCACTTATTAGGACACAATTTATAGAAGAATTGTAAAAACATCTAAATCCACATATGTACAGTTTTAAAAAATCCCCCCTCAAGAAAAACTCAAAAAAAAAAAATCCTCAGCTGTTCTACTAATGACTGCCCCTGTGACCTGTAAGAGAAAGCGGGAAGAGGAGGCTTATCATCCTGTCAGACCTTTTGCATTTAGTCCTTGTCAATGCGGAGAATGAAGCACAAAAGAAAAGAACACAAAACCCTGAAAAAATGTCTACCTTAGTTTAAAAATACACAAATGTGAGAGGGAAGCTTTTTAACAAGTGAGTTAATCCCAATAAAAACCTGTAATGAAGGCAACGGTGAGGAGAGGCGCACAGCCGCACAAGCCCAGCTCTTCCACAGGCTGCGTAATCAAACCCAGCTTGGGTTGTGCAGTTCAGCCCAGGAACTGCTGTGCTTGGTGACAACACATCTGAGATGCATTATACCTTTCCTGCAGCTCCATGAAATGCATGGCAATTACGTAAATGTTCAGAAACCTGACTGTGGACTACGGTTCCAGATGCTGTAAGCTGAATACACTCTTTTAAAAGCCAATTCAGTAACAGGCTATCAGCAATGTAACAAACTGAGCTCTTAATTTTAATGTCTTATTTCTCAATACATATCCAGAAAGGATTCTATTTGGTACCCAATTACAGTGAAGCAGCTTGATTTGCTGCCTGTACTTAGGACTCTTTTGATGGCTCCTTTGTTCTTACAGTAGCTTAAGTCCCATAGAAATGAAAACAGTTAATGTTAAAGAAAAATTAGAACTTAAATACAACTGATGATAGAAAGTTTGCACACTGATACAATGACAGCACAATTTCATTTGAAGAGACAAATAAAACAAGATAAAAGCACAAGCTTATAATGGAAGCTGTCACTATTTACAGATTAATATATCTATATATCTAATAGTTTTCATTTTAACAAAACAAACTGGACTCTTCCAATTTCTACTTTTATAACCTTTCAAATCTCCAAAGCCTAAGTTTTTTTTCTGTAATTCTAGATTTCCAATTCTATCTTTCCTAATTATCTGGTGTACCTTTTATATTACATTCATATTATAGACCATTTCTCTGTAATGAACAGAAAACTTATTTAAGTAAGACATTCAAGTACTCAACTGTAGCAAGAATCTGTGTGCTTTGTATGAAAAGCATACTTTGACTTCTGTGCTTCAATCTGAGTTCCCACATACATATGCACAACAGAACGTTTTTGAGAAGAAAATATGAAAACTATCAACACAGTTACTGTAAGTTCTACCTTTTACTTAACTTTATATTCATAATTTAAGACTTAGTTTCAGGAGGTCCTATATAAATAGATGAGTGTGACATTAAACAGAATTGTGTGGAAAAAATGTAGATGAGGTCTACTAAAGTACAAATAATTGAAGGGCAATACACAACTAAAACTGCAATTACCTATCCAGTACCATAGGAATGAACAGCCTTTGAGTATAAAGATAGCAATGGATCATGAGTTACCCTTTTTAGCACATGTTTTGATGAAGTTTTACTTCTAACACCCCATACCACCCCCCCCACACACAACTCTCTTTCGTACACACACATACAGAAAAATTATATAATTTAAGACAAGATTTGCCATATGCAGAATTAACATATTTTAAAAGTAATGTAAAGATGGACCGTAAAAATAAAGAATCTTAAATGATTTTGAAAAGTAGCAAAATTTAAATTCTGCATTAAAGTGGAAATTCGCACTATAACATGGTAAAAAAAAAAAAACCTCAAAAATTTAGTATTTCTCTCTCACTCAGAAAATACAAAAACACATTAACTTTCAGTATCTACTTAATCATCATTCACTTACCAAAGCTTTAGAGGAGTAAAGGTCTATTATCACCTCAGTTTTAATGTCTATAAATGATTCTATGATCCTCAGGATATATTTTCTACTCAAAAACAGAGGGAAAAATGTTTAGAAAAGATAAAGCTAGGGGAAAACACACTAGGATTAAAGCAGACTTTTAGTTTGATAGCCTTTTAAACTGTTATATAAAAATATTTTCATAAAATAAAATACAATTTTATACACAACCCCACATACATCTGCTGAATAAAAAAAGTGACCTTTCCCATTGTCTGACTCTGTGGAGTATTTTAAGTGCTCATAAATGAATAACTCCAATTTTTATGTACATAGACACTATTTTAAACAAAATATAAAGTTCTCAAGAGTTTTTAGGAAGAAAACGTCTAAGAAACAAAGAAACACAACAATCTAGATATAGGTCTGCATAGCTCAAAAAATTCAAGTACAGTATTTTTCCTCCAGAAGGAATAAAAATGTCGTATGATTTTGGATATCTTCTTTCCTTTTTCCTTCTTTTTTGGCCACTCCATGTAATGCTAGTTTGGCCACAATAAAAGAAAGACTATGATTTTGTTTTCAACCAAAGAAAAGTATATTTTTAATAGTGGAAAAAACTCAGAGCTCACCATATTAAACGTAAATTCAAATTACTTGTATTCCACAGTCTCCTTTGCTTCTGTAAGGTATTATGGTGAACTTCAAATAAAATTCTGTAATTTTTCAAAGGCCCTATTTTAAAATATACTTCTAATATGCCACTGTATCATATAAAGTGAAAATCTACAGAAGGATGTGATTGGGAGAAAAAGTGTCTACAATCTGTGAAGACAAAAGGCTATGACAAAAAATACCAGTGTTTATAGAATGTTTACCACAAATACTTATTTATAACGAAGTCAATCTAGGGCACGAGTAATGACCATTTCAGATGTGGGGGAATACTGGCATTTTTGAAGGAAAAAAGTAATTACAATTAACTCAGTTTGGAATATTCTCCTGTGGTAAAATGATACAATATAAAGAATAAAGTATTAAACATTTGCACAATTTAACTTTGTGGCCTGCTTATTTAGTTATTCAATACAACAAAAAATTTAAAAATTCCATAGCACCTGGCTATTCTGCAGGAAAAAATATAATTGTTACAGGTATTATTTAAAGTTTTCTCAGAAAATAAAGGATTATTCAAAACCCCAAATGCAAGTAGATCTGCACACCTGAGATCAGTTCTCTACCGTTGGATATTTCAAAGTCTTCATTCCAGTACTTTTCAAGGCTAAATTTGTACCGCATTCCAACAGCATCTACCAATATGAAGCAACGAACAGCTGACAGGTCAGCATCTTGCAAAGATGGTGGCTGGCGTGGTAGATCTTTCCTTATTTCACTGTATGGGTAATTTTCCAAATCCTGAGAAATAGAATAGTTCCCAAACCAGTTTTCCCCCATTGGTATTTCCTCAAGGTTGAAAAAATATTGATTTTGTAGATGACTAGCATATAGGTGAATATAATGTAATAAATACACACTGTCTAAAGACATTTCAGGAAAGATAGATGAAAAACACAGTCGGGCCCTGAGCTAACTATAACTCCTATGAATGCAAACAACTTGGCAGCCATCCTGGATTCACCTCAGTTTTTGCAAAAGCAGCAGAGCCCAAGTTCACAAGCTCTCCGAATGGGTGACAAGATGAGGTGTTTCGCATGCTACAGCCACAATGTCAAAGTTTTCAGGTTCTGCTCCATCCACTGAATATTCAACTGAATGACTTCCAAAGCCTCCCGGACACACCGAAGCCGAAAGGTTGTCTCTGACTGATTTTCAAAAAATGCCTGGACCTGTAAGTTCCACATAGAAGTATTTTAAAAGAAGAAAGGAACAGTAAACTTCAGGTAACTCAGTTTATCCTCTTAAGATAAGCTTTACTTTATGATGGCCACAATGACATCTGAAAGCAGCAAAAAGTACTTTAACATCCATGATAACTATGTGGAGTCCTCAATGAAGCTTGGTGACATCTGAAGAGATTTTAACAATACATTTTCCTTACCCCTACACACGGAGGAACCTTTTTAGCTTAAAAAAAATAATGTTCTAGAAATAATAAATAAGTAGAGTCTGATAGGCCTGGTGCTATAAATTTACTTTTGAATTGAATTATCACTTAAGATTACTAGCATTAGGCAGATAAGGAAACAGCTGAGAGTGCAAGCAGAAGTTCCCTTCCTTGCCACATATCTAACCTTCTAAAAGTAACCTCAATACAGAATCATTAATGCTGATGAAGGCAGATGGGAGAAGAGATAGGAATTATTATGAGAAATCATCATCTCACTTAAACTGAGAAGCCTCAAGGGAAAGCATCCTCCAGTCTGCCTGCAAGCATTTTATATCACCAACCTCAGAAAAATGTGCCTTCGTTGAAAACAGGTGAGTTGATCCAGCAACAATATTTTGTATGGTATAGGATCCCAGATGGAACCTGAAGATACACAATGTAAAGAGAGACAATGAGGCAGCTGTGGATCAGCAAAGCACTGTTTCTGATTGTGAAGTGAATGTTTTAATGCCAAAGGCAGTGTAGAGTCCTGCTGGTGATAACTATGGTGTGCATGGGCAGACAGTGTTGTCCACATACACCACACCAGTGATGTGAGCCTTTCAGAGCTTTCCATGATAACCAATATCCCACTGGGCCAGGCATGCTACAGGTTCGCCATCACTGTATTATACTTACATTGGTAGAAAGGAAAGATGGGAGACAAGGGGGGATGTTTGGGATACCTAGATAAATTTTTAATGCATTTGATGTTCTCATCATCCACAACTATCAAAACTGCTTTAAAAGAGAGAAAGAAACCTATGTGCTATCTAGCTCTAATGATGTGAAGTGTAAGTTCTAAATGATGCCTTGGCAATGAAGAGCTATGTCAACATGTCTAACTAAACAGCTGTCCTGAAACAGTCTGTAGCCATGTGGTGTTGAGTGGTCTGGGGTCAGGTTTAGCTGGCCTTGATTAGTATTTGAATGGAATGCCACTGTTAAGTGACCTATGTTTATAAATGTAAAAAATTCTGGGGGTTTCAGTTACATTGAAAGAGCAGCATTTTTCCTCTCAAAGCAAATCTAACTTTTGTGAATCAACATACAGCATTGGGGTTTTTTTCCCATGTGGAGTACCAGAACACTGTGACATACTGCTTTTCCAAATACAGAATACTGAAAGTCATTCTCTGAAAAACTTACTTCTGTACAAGCTTATCCCAGTTTTCTTTGACAAAATCCCATGCCAACAAGTGTCCAGCAAAACTTCGGCCCACTGTCCTAATGATAAATGACAACTTCTGTGTTCGGATGGTATCTCCCTCAAGGCTACTTTTCATTAACCTGAAATGCAAAACAGATTTAGCCTCCAAAATAATCATTCACAAAGAAGTGATGACTGATATGAATACTGGTATCTTAACTAAAGCTGTTTAGAAATTCTAGGGAAATAAGTGTTAGCTTAATTTAACAGTGATCTATTGACTGAAAACTTGTCATTTTAATTTATTTCTTAAATAAAGGAAGAACTCAACAAATAGGGAGTCACATAACAGTTTCTGATATAGTAAAGACATTTAGGAAACAAATCCTGGTAGAATTTATTACAATTCTGGAGATTTGTTTTTCTTCCTAGTACAAACCTTACTGGATTTGAATAGGCAGGAATATAGCTAATAAGAGACTGGGCTGTTAAATTGTTTGTCAGTGAAGATACATTTCAGAATAGATTCTTATTAATAGCATTTATTGATACTATGTACTAAATAATGCTGCTAAGTTCCAGAAACAACAGGCTATGAAGTAAACATTTGTTACATATCTCTCTTTATAAAAAGTTGAAGAAACTTAACGCTGGGTAATTGTCCCACAGTTCATAGTCAGTAAATAATGAATGTATTCAGTTCTGGCATCTGAATGTATTTAGTTGTTGTCTACTATGCTATACTATCCATTCATATTAAGGAAAACACACTTCTCAAAAAGAATCTGGTTGCATTTTTAGGAAGGGAAAAAATTCAAATGCCTGGGAAGATGAATTGAAATAGGTTATAATAGATCCATACTTTGAAATACTGTGCAGACATCAAAATGAAGCAGGCTTTATGAACTGACTTGGAAAATGTCAAAGACTGATCATTCATTAAAAATACTGCTGTAAAATACTAGGTATAGGATAAATCCATGCACACACACATGCATGTATATGCAGACTGAATATTCTTTACCCAAAATGCTTGTGAAAACACCTAATGTGCATCTTTGAAAAAGTGGGCCTGGGAGGTGCTGAGAATGTGCCTGGGACACTATGAGGGTGTATCTCAATTATGCAGGAGAAGCAATGTGCCCTCCATGCCTCCCTCTGTTACTGGAGAGAATTTCAATCGCAGTGCCCTACATTCCAGACACCTTCACAGTCCACTTGGTGCCAAGAGCCTCTCTGCCCTGCCACTGACTCGTGAGGTCCTCATCCCTGCCCTTTTTCCATCCATGTGAAAATTATTTCCAGGCTGTTACCAGCTAAACATTAAAATGGCAAAGTATTACAGATAAATTCCTATGAAGGTAGAACATATGATCTTTTTCATATTAATCTTTTCTAAACTATCTGCATTTTCTTTCAGTGAAAGAAATACTTTGGTCCAAAAGAATGAAGTACTGACCATGGTGTTAAAGACCACTCGTCAAGCAGAACACCATGTTTCTGAGCAGGAGTAATGGGCAGCTGTGCTTACAAAGCAGATTATGCCCAGCTATAGAGGTTAAGTACTTAAAATGAAGCCCAGCATATGCAGGCTCCAATCACACCAAAGCAGGCCTAATTTTGACAAAACAAGAGGAAAAAGGAGATCTCAACAAAATGTGCTCCAATCCAAGGACCAAAGTGCTTCTGTATTTTTGTTTCTATACAACATATTTTTGTGTGATTGCATACCAGTAAAGTTTCCTTGTATCTGATGAACTGGCAAGAGCTTCAAGTATTTTGTTTTTCTCGGCTTCAGACTCTAGAGAAACATACTTGCTTAAGAGGAATGACCAGCCGGTATCAGTTTTTGCTCCAACTTTGAACACAGCTGTCATAACATCAGTAGGTAGGCTGGAAGAGAAGAAAGGGGTAAAACATGAGAATAAGAAAAATTTGGAATACAAAGGCAAGGGGTTGGCTGGTGGTGGTGTTTTGGGAGTCAGAGTAGATGATAATTATAAAGGTCTTAATTATGCAATAGTCAAGAAAGTTAATTCAGTGACTCTTGTTTTCCCATTATGCACTGAACTCTCACAGAGAACCAGACAGGTAGCTGAGTATGGTGACACATGCTTGTACTCTCTCTCAGCAGCAGGAGTGCCAGGTGCACTGAGTTTGAGGCCAGGGATCTACACAGAAAGTTCAAAGCTAATGTAAGTCACATAGTGAGATCCTGTCTAAACATACAACAACCCCAAACAAACAAAATAAAGAACAGGCAGACAAGGAAGAAGAAACACAGTCCATGCCTTCTAGGAACTCACTGGTTATTACCAAATACAGGATGAGGAATAAACATATAGAGCATAATACAATGTAGTAAGTTCTGTGGTATAAAAGCAAGAGGTGAGCAGTTTACTATTTTCGTTAAGAGTTTAGTGTTGTAAAAGACTTCAAATTCCTCAACCTAACTTTTCATTTCATACTTGAATCTTCGCTCCATAAGGTACAGAAGTCGCCAAAAATATGTACATATACTTCAGCAGTTTGCTGTACTAATAAGAGTCTGGAAGCAAATGGTTACCACTTTGAACATCTTTTGTAATTGTAGAGGCCAAAAGTAACTTGTATTAATCTCGTGATGTCTCAATAAATTTAGTATTAAAATATTTATACGAGTTTCTTTTCATGAGGCATACATATTTTTGGTGCCACCCTATCTCTGTCTCTCATCTCTGCCTTTTTCTCTCTCTCTCTAATGTGTGTATCATAGTCTATCTTGGTGGCCCCCAGGGCTCATGAGTTTGCATTGTACATTTGTGATTGGTTTATTGTCTAGAGCTTAGATTGATGATGTCAGTGCTACACCCACATAGGGGTGGAGCCAGGATGTGATGTAATGGCAGGAAGAAGGTGTATTTGCTCTCTTTTGCCAGTTTCTGCCTTGCTGTTTGCAGCTGCCATGAACTGCGGCCCAGCTGAATATGGACTGAAATCTCTAAAATCTGTAGGAAATAAACCTTTCCTTTCCCTGAAACTTTGGGCTTCAGGTATTTTGTCTCAGTGATGAGTAAAAAGTAACTAAGACAGTGTGTGTGTGTGTGTGTGTGTGTGTGTGTGTGTGTGTGTGTGACTGGGAAATTGTTTAATGGGTACAGAATTTCAATTCTGCAAGAAAAAAAATGTTCTGGATATTGTTGCACTCAGTATGACATACTTAGCACTACTGAATTGCACATTAAAGAAAGGTTAAGATGGTAAATTTTAAGTGTATGTGGCCACAATGGGTTTTTTTTTTTTTTTTGTCTTTTTCATTTTTCTCGGTACCATGGATCGAACTCACGACTGCCTGCTTGCCAGGCAGGTGCTTATGCCGCTGAGCTAAACCCCCAGCCCCAATGTTTTTAGTCTTGTTAGGTAACACAGATATATACAGTGGATCTATATCAACATTCATGACCCAGGAGAGAAGTGATCTGAGCAGATGTATCGCTCACCTTTGAGTTCCATTAGATGCCACCCACTCATCAAACAGTTTCATGGCAGCAGCGCTGCAGTTCTCCAGGTTGTGGGTACAAGCAAATTCCAGCAAGACTGTGCGAAGCTCTCTGGTGGATGGGGTGCCCTCATCAGTCCAAGTCTGTTGTTGGATTTGGTTTTGAAGTAATGTATGTACCCTGGCCTACAGAGACAAAATGGATTATAATACACTAATAGTAATTTGAACAGTTGGAAAAATCAAGACAACTATATTTTTTTCCCTATGAGGAAAAAAGGGGGCATAAATATTATTCATTAAACATCAAACACATGAAAACCACATATAGCTTGAATAAAACCACTCAAGATAAAAAGCCAATATATAGGGTTAGTTATACCCAAGGAGGACTTTCAAGGATACAACTTAGCATTAATAGTGTTTGTAGAGTAGAGAAATGCTTCGCTGTGTATACTAAGAAGTTATTTTCCTGTCAAAACTATCATCTATATACCATTGCTGGAAGGAAGTTGGAATTTTCTGATCCTATAACTTTAGAATCCATAAATGCATTAAACAAAAAGAAAAACATGTATCTTTGCCGATGGTTAATCTTTAAAAGTTTCTGAATCAAATATTAAAAGTATATTTAAGATATTAATAATTTGACATGATAGCAAATTAATTTAACCAAATTAGCAAAATAAATGAGTCGCAGGATATAACAGTTGTTCAGAATCTGTGTCTCCCAACTTTTTATGTTAACATTTTTAAACCCATAGAAAGTGCAACAGTAAAAATCCACATGCTATTCATCTAGATTTATAAGTTTTTAACATTTTTTCATTTACTTTATTTCTGTATATACTACACTATACATATACCGTTTCTAGTTTAGCTGAAAGTTATGAGTAAGTCATAGATATCTTATTTAGTTTAGAAATACTTTTTAGCTTGTAACTCCAAGAAATAAGAACATATCCCTATATAATTAAAATATCATACTTAAGAAAACTGATAATTACTCAGTAATATCATTTACCACCTTACCCACCCATTGTTATAGCTACTTCTGAATAGGATGTAACTGCAAAAAGTATACTTGTATTAAGGAACCAAAAGCCAATGTTTTAAGCTGGGTGTGGAGGTGCACACCTGTAGTCCTAGCACTTGGGAGGCTGAGGCAGGAGGATTCCCACAAGTTCAAAGCCTGCTTGGGCCACATACTGGGTTCAAGGCTAGCCTGAACTATATAGTGAGGTCCTGTCCAAACAAAACAAAATAAAGCCAAAAACAAACAAAAAACAATGTTTTTATTTCTCTCCTTTGTTAACACCTACAATAAATCTTATTCACAGTTTTAAGCTATTGAGGCTACAATATCAGCAGATTTTCTCCAAGTAACCTTTGAATAAGTCTCTTGAGCTGAACAGGAGAATGGAAAAAAGAATCTGTGCAAGAAGGACTTAAAATCTGTGGTAATTCCAGCCTGCCTCTGCTAGTTTCTAAAGCAATGCAATAGAGAACAGACATGTGATGGAATGCTTGAATGGTAAAGCTGCAAGTTACTGGCAGACGTGAGGTGGAAAAGCACGTGCCATGCTCACTGAGATTGCAAGGCACATAAAAGCAGTGCAGGCAATCCCACTGGGCATACCTGACTGTGCAGACATGCTGGTCTGACCTTTCAGAAGCATGGTAACACAAACTGTCCCAAATGACTCAAGAATGAAACTTCAAAGTTACCCACAAATGTCAAACAGAAACAAGGAAACAATGGGGTAAGTTACACATTTCTAAAATCTCAATGGAAAACTATGGAAAGGCCCACTGCGAGTTTACAAAAACACAAAGGAGCTAGTGGGAAAAAAGCACTTTAAAGTAGTGTGAGCAAAAAAAACTTGATGCTTGAAGATGTTATGGCTAATTCCTTACATGAAACCATTGTATCACTGAAATTTCAGAATGAAATTCTGCTAGTTTCTGTATCAAATGATTCAAAGGAATTCTCCAAATGGCTGGCCTTAAATATATTCTAAATTTTAATAAAAATTTTGTTGAAAGAGTAAATAATTCTATTTTTAGAAAAATCCTGCTGTTACAAAACATGATCATTTTAGTATAATTAAAGTTATATTTTAATGTTAATTAATGAAGAATGGCAGGTGGTCCTAAAAATTACCTTTCCCTTTCAGAAATAAAATGAAATCTGCTTTCCTGTAGTTTATCAGTTAATTTTTAAGTTTAATCTCATTAAACCACAGAATCTAACTGTATTATTTAATAAATAAAAAAGGCAACTACAGAAGAGAGATAGATGGACCGGTTATATAAGCTACAAAAACTTGATATGCTATAAAATCTAACAACAATAACACAAAGAGGTTTTTAAAATAAAACAGATAAGAAAAGATGCTGGAACTTATGTTACATATTACATTTTGATTTACTGCTTTAATTTTACACTGATACACCCAGGGAGTTCTTTCCTGGGTCAACTGAGTTCCTTTAACGTTATATGTCAGCTTTTTATTGCAAAAGGTTTACCTCATCAATGCCTTGTATGTAAGAGAATGGCAGATTTGTAAGTTATAAAATAGGAATATGGCTAGGATCAGACATTAACATCAGGTGTGAACAATTTAACACAGTTCCAATGTGCCCCTAGACCCAGCCCTCACAAAAACATGGCATACATCACAAAATACAGCACACATCATGTGCAGTCACACAGCAAAATTAGCAATAAATGTATAGAATGCTCTGGTTATAGTAACACGAAATTTAATTAGCATTAATACATCTGAACATTGGATCCAAGGACTCAGAAATGCCTGCCATCTCAATTCCAAACCACTGTCAGGTTTCACAGTTTGAGAATTTGGATGCTACCAGTTGCACTAAGAGTAGAATAAGAACTTTAAAGAAACAGGTTCTTTCATTGTGGCCTCCCCGCCACTATGACTTGACCGATTCTGTCCTGTTATGTCTCATTTGGTTTTACTCTCTTCCAAAAAAGCAATAAGAACCGTGGGAGCAATGAAACCCAAAATGTGTAATAGTCATTGTACAAAAGAGAGGAAAAGAAAGTGCTCTAAACTATATAACTGCATGTATATTTAAGTGTATAAGATAGAAAATGATATCACAGAGTTTTATTGGATCATTGAACAGAACTGTTTGCAGTATCATTGTTGGAATGTCCACTCTACAAGCTTTAATTTTGTGACTTGAACAATTATTTTTAAGATGGCAATATGTAATCCATTAACTAGTGATTTTCTACTGTTCATTTTTTTCTTCTGTAAATCTGTATAACTTGTACCCTTTCACTTTTTTTTTCTTTTCTCCTTAAAAAATAAAATAAAATAAAATAAAAAAAATAAAAAGAAACAGGTTCTTCCTTCTGATGAACCGGAGCCAATCTGGCTTTTAGCTAGCAAGATGAAGATTTACAGCAGTGAATGAGGGAGTTTTAGAAACACACACTAAGCCTCTCGCTCTCTATCCATCAGTCCCCAGGATCCCACCCTGCAATATATAATATATGAGAAGCATACTGCTCCTAATAAAGCACATCTGCCAGAAAACTGGAAATCATCCAGGATGAAGATGCAGCAGGAAGAAGAGTTACCTGAGTGCCGACAGGAAAAGATTCAACCCTTTGAACTGAGTTTAACACCTGTGTTTCCAACATAGAAATAGTCTGAGGTGTGTATCTGAGACTAACATTTAAACAGAGCTACAGAGAGAGGAGGGAGAGAAGAATGGCTTCTGGTAACCGGAAACTAAACTAGCTGCCAAATGTGTGAGTAGACAGACATTGTGCCTTCACTTAGGGTATATTCAGAAACAACATTATGCAATTGTGGGGAAAATGAATGACACATACTAATCTTATTCACTGATACCTGTAATGTACAAGTTTACCTGGAACTTGAAGTGTCTTTGTGGATGTAATCAAGTTAAAATGAGATCTCCTGGGTTACACTGGGCTCTAATCTAATGACAGGTACCCTCTGAAGAACAGAAACTGGAGACCCAGGGCGCAGGGAGAATGCACTGTTGACAGAAGCAGGTCTTGGAGTAGTATATATACTAGCAGGGGGGTAGGGGGTGGGAATGTAATGAATTGCAGGAAACCCCCTGAAGCTAAGAAAGAGGTAGGGCACAGATTTCACTTTAGAAGATACAAACTATGCTGCTAACATCTTGACTTTGGACCTCTAGCTCCTACAAGTGTGACAGAATAGATTTATGTTACATTTAGACATGGAATTTTTAACACTTTATTACAGAAGTTCTAGGAAATGAATATACTACCTCAATTGGTATTGATTTGACACATTCAATGCTCAAAGAATTCTATAATTAGTATATCCACACATGTATGCACACACCCATCAAATATATTGGTGCTGGATTAACTAGGTACCCATACTGAAAATAATGAATATTGATGTCTACCATACATTAAAGAACAAATTCCAGATCCATCATAGATCTAAATGTAAAAGGTAAAATAAAAGTTTTTAGAAGTAAACATAGAATATTTTAGTGGTCAAAATTTCAATACATTAAAGAACATTAAAACTATAAATCAAAAATATCATCAACAGAGTGAAAAGGTATTTATAAATATCACACAGGTTATTTGGAAATAACGAAAGATTCATACCCAGGATACATAGAGAACTCATAAATCAGTAAGATTTGAGCAGGCAGTTTAACAGGAAAGTAACAGACTAGAGCAATTTATAAAAATAGCAAGCCATGGCAAGAAAACAGCACACCTAGACTTTGTATACATTGATAATGGAAATGTAAATTGGTATGACTATGAAAAAATACTTGATAGTATGGTACTAACTATGTATGTTCTAAAAAGCAACAACTCCACTTCCAGATGTATACTGTATAGAAATTCATATACTCATATATAAAAATATTCAAAGTGATTTTATTTATTATAGCTCCAAAACACAAAAAGTCCATATAACCCATCAACAGCAGCTGACTTAGTTAACAAATGTCCAATCTTCTAATATACCAGCAATAGAAAGTCCATGTTAGAATCTAAGGTTTGCTTTAAAGAGAAGTAATCTGCATATTTTTTGCTAATGCACACAAAAACTATTTTAATTGTATTTAATACTGTTAGTAATATTTATCTTATTTTATATTAATACTTTAGATATTAAAAAATCTCCACTAGTTAACAACTTCATTTTCAAGTAAATAACCAGATGTGTGTTTGTCCTTTTAAATCTTTTAAAAGAAACAAGTTGTAGCAAGAAGGAAAGGTTTAATTTTTCTAACAAAAAGTTATCCTGGTGAGATGCCATTGCTGGAATACAAATAAATTTAAAATATAGCAACATTTCACAGAGAGTATGCACTGCAGTGAAACTAATCTGGGTTTGAATCTCAATTTTGTAATTTACGAGTAAATGACTTCATGGGAAGTTATTTACTCTCGTTTATCTAACAGGGCTAGAAATTTCTATTTTGGCAATGTGTAAGGATTAAATGAGGTAATCTATGTTACTTTACATATGTGGGGTATGTACAACATAGGAAGCACTCAGATGCATTTGTTTCTGGTGTATTTCACCTTAACTGAAGGTTACTCTGAGCCAGGTATTGGTTTTTCCTAGGGCTGCTAGCTTAAAGATTTGTTAAGTAGAAAACAGTAAAACTCTTAACATCAGAAGAGGCCCCAGGTAAACATCTTACTTAAGCATAGGTAGGGGTGGGCTGCCTCCTTTGGAGTCAAATCAGAAACATGTATGTGTCGGGGTGTGCTTTCCATCAATCATACTACCCCCTGCCCTGTGTTCTCTCTCCTCTGAAAATGGCAAAGAACTCATCACAGAAGATGTGCAGCAGATCAACCATAAAAGCAAAAAAAAAAAAAAAAAAAAAGGTTTTAAAAGTGATTTAATCCAACTCCTTCCTTTACCAGAAAAGATACCAAAACCCTAAAAGACTCACTTGAATTTCTAGTCCAACACCTTCTTCTTTTTCATAAAAGCCGCCTTTTGCCTGAGTCCCTGGAGAATCTGATTCTAAAGCAAGCCCTATTGTCAGAATCTGCTGGTTCAGCGAATTAGATAAAAAGAATTTCTCATCTCCTTCCTAGTTTTAAAGACTCAATAAAGAGTTTAACACTGAAAGTGTCTAGATAAAGATTGCTAAAATCAGGCAATCAGACCTAGGAAAGATGACGTCTCTGATAACAAGGCTTTAGTGTTTGCTGAGGTACTCCTGCCCACCAGCATCACCACCTGCTGGGAAGTAGTAGGCCAGACTCCTAAGTAGCATATTCTTAGTGCAAACACAATTGTCATTTTATAATGACCACTAGCAAATTAATGGGGATGTCTACTTTGCAAACAGATCCATGTAAAGCATTCATTATATAAAAGCAAAAAGATTTCAAATAAAAAAATTTGTTTTTCATGTGCCCTATTTCAATAGCAGTGTCAAAACTCTGACATTCAAGTAAGACTAATGCCTACTAAGCTTTTACTAACTCTTCATGATAAGCAATGACATTTTAATTCAAGATACAGATTTCACAATCAGCAAGGTAAAAAAATAGAATTTAAGTGTTTGCTTTTTTGACCCACTGAATGAATGAATTGTGAATAACAATATTAAAGACAGGTACAAGAAAATCTGGCAAAAAGGCAGACTTACCACCAGTCTCGAGGCCAGATCAACGTGCCCCACCTTTTCAAGAAGGTGAAAGATGAGTCCTGTCTGGAACAGGGCTTCAGTGATGGGTGCGGCATGGCTCTCATTTTTAAGATAATCAATCAAATCAAAGGCCCTCTGAAGGGGCACCTTGCCTAGGCTGACAGATAAAAAAACAAGGAAAGTGAGTATTTTGAGGCTTACAGAAACACTATGCATGCTGCAAACTATATAGCTAGATGGTGAGTCTTGAAGATAAAACATTTAAACTTAGAGTGCCATTCTACAGTCCTAGCTGATTTATCTGTAAGTTCATGTGGGCCAATGTTAAAGATGCACTTCAAGAGAAAGATACATATTAGCTCATTTTTGTCCCATAAGTCACCTGTGAGTTGCTACTGATACATCTATTTATTAAATTGAGAGAAGGAATGGTATAGAGTATCTGAATCAGAAAAAGACATTTTATTGCTGTATGAAAATTTATCAAACTTATTAAAGGTAAGGTCTATTGTGAATGTACAGTGAACACATTTGAAAACTTAATCATTTTATAGAAACAGTAACAATGATGGCAAATATAAGGAGGCTATTCCACAATAAATGAACCAAAATGAGAAGGTCAAGAGTGGTCACAGGGAATCCTCTTGAGTGTTCCTCCTGCTTCTAGGTCTACCACCAACCTAAACTGGTAGTCTGTCCAGAGGATGTCTCTATAAGTAGCCAGTCACATTCCTGGCTTTGTGATTCTAACATGTGTGAATTGGCTGGGAAGGCAAACAGTATAGAGATGAAGAGGCTCCAGTTATCAGAGAATGCTGGCCAAGCATTGAACTTCACAAGGGGGGCTAATTGTGGCTAGAAAAGAATTCTCTCACAAAATAAAACTAAATAAAATAAAACAAAATAAAAGCTTGAAGTTTTAAGTAATGTATTTAGCAAAATATGCACCTCTGCCTATTATTTAACTGTTCAATACATTTATAGCTTATGTTTATTTCTCCTTCTCCTCCTCCTCCTTCTATTTTTGTAATAAATGTTTTGGTTTTTTGAGACAAGGTCTTGCTATGTAGTTCAGGCTGGCCTTGAGCTCACTATGTAGTACAGGCTAGTCTCAAATTCGAAGTAAGTCTCCTTGCTCTGTCTGCTGAGTGCTGGGATTATAGGTGGGGACCACCACACTCAGTTGATGTTTCTAAAGTTCCTGAAAGCAAAGAACATGTCTTTTATTTTCCTAAACATCCAAAATGAATTGTCCTTAACAGTTTATACAAACTAGTTCTTTCAAATTGTTTTTCTGAAATGTTCTTTACATCAACAACATTTATCTAAAAAGTAAAACAAAACTGTAACAACTCAAACCAAAATACTGTACCCTGCAAGTTCAAAGATGTTGTTGATGAGGTTGGCTCGGTCTCTGTCACTCAGAACATAAGGGTTCCTTTTCAGCTGCTGGATGAGTGCTGTCCAGTCATCATCTCCATAGTGTACAATGTAATAGCCAGTCATGTTTGCATTGACTTTGACCCAGTGCACTTGCTCTGTGAGATTGATGATACCTAGGACAGATCATAAATGAGATGGTAAGAGAATGTTCGGGCAAGAAAAAAATTTAAATGAGCTATTTGTTTCAAAGTTAACATGGCATATTTTCACACTTAACCCTCTGGTAGGAAACTAAATACCTGCTTTCTTAGGTACCTATTTTCATGTAAGTGAAGATCATCACTCATTCAGTAACTATTTTTTGTGCACTACTGGGATTGTACTAGGCACTGAAGAGCAAATGGTGACCAAAGTAAATATGTCCCTGCTTTTATGGTGAATGTAGTGATGGCCTTCAATGAGAACAGTCAGTTGTGGGATGTATTCCATACGGTCACTACCACTAGATAGGTGCCGTATCACACAAATGATACTGATGGAAAAAACAAAAACAAAAACAAAAACAAAAACATGACCTTGAGTGCCAGTACACAGAAGAAATGTTTCACCTAGTAGGGAAGGGCATGAGAGCTCTCACTGAAGAAATGACATCTAAGTTGTCATTTTTCTAAGTGACTTAGAAGAATAGTTTTCCATTAGGTTGGTGCTAATAGTTAGTAAAGACCTAAGTGTTTAAGGCCAAGAGAGAAAATGTACATGACATCCATGCATTGGCCTGGCTCCTGAGTTCATTATAACTGGGAGACAAGGAGAAGGGAAATTGTGTATAGAGAGGGATAGGGGAGCACAATGAGACATCTATAACTCAAAGCTAGCAAAATAAAGGGAAAGTTTCAAGTTTCGTTAGACACAAATACATGAAAACTGATTTAACAGAAAAGTAGTATATACTTTTTTGATCCCTACAATGACACATATAAATGCTGAGAGAACTGTTAGAAATTTTTATTCAATTTTTTCAACTAATATACAAATAACAAGGAGCTAACTAGCTGAAGGATAAAAGTATGAATTTTAGAAGTCCTTAAAATTACTAATCAAGAAATGTCCTGTAGAGTTGGCAAGAATGTGGATTTAATATAAATATGCTTCCAATATGCATCTTAGTGTTTACTACTTACTATATATAATATAAGCCCCACAAGCCATTTTGCTCACTGCTAAATATATCAGCCTCTAAAAAAATGTAGCTAAAGGGTATTAAAAATATTTACTAAAAGAATGAATGAAAATATAATGACTATACCGTGGTACATAGTTTCAAACTGTATCCAAACAGGTTGTAGAGGTTCATTAGATAATTTTGCTCCTATATTTAATGAAAACTTTTTAAATTTTTAAAGTAAAAAAGACTAGATATTTGAAAAATAATCTAAACTGAGACAATGAGCATTTTGAAGACTATTTCCTGTCAAGTTTTTCCTTAACTACCATAGTTTAAACAATCTATTTTGAAGCATTTAATGTTTTTTTGCTACCATATTATTTCTGTAGCAAAATTTTTTCTACATAAAGTGCTTTAAGCCACATTTTGAACTCAAGAATTATATTTAGTACTTGAAGCTTTAGGGTTTACCAACTTCAAAAGCATAAAATATTCCAATTTATCAGATTCTCTTTAGTATCTCTGAAACTCCAATTCTATTGATATTGAAAAAGATTTTTAAGATTGAAAAGGCAATTTAACCACATCTTAACAGGCTGTAACAGTTGAGTAGTCTCTTAAATATATTCCATACTCAATTATGTTGTAATTCTGACATAGCATCAGGTGGGAAGGATCCATTCAATAGGTTTATTCCTTTTTCCAGAGCAGAATACTGTGGCAAAGAGTATTTGTGATGACAATAGTACCTGCTTCAAGCTGAAACCATTTTTAATGAATTTTATCACTAATGAAATTCATTTTATCATGAACTAATAAAAAATAAATTCATCATTCTCCGATCACCAAACACAATCTCCCATAGAGCTTTTTCAAGAAAAGGCCGTGGGGAAAAAGACTGCAGAGTCCAAATCTCCACTGTCCAAATGGAGACAAGAAATGCTATGCATGACAACTGTTTGCCTGGATGGATGCAGAAATCATGAAGTACTGAGTATTCTGGCTGATAAGCAAGTTTCCATGCTGTAAACCTAGCCAAGTCCAGATGGTAGAGAAGAAGAACGCAGCAGGAAGTATATCTGAAATTATTATTGTCATCAAGTTGACAGAATGTACGCAGTGTAGCCAACGGCACAGAAAGAAGAGTTATCATTTAAGGAATCAACATATTATTCTCTTTCTGGGTCTTCTGAATGATCCAGAAAGTAGGACCTTAAAATCACAACTATCTAAAACAATAGTTGCACACAAGGGAGGTAATAGCCTGGAGCTCCAAAGTAGATGAGACTACCCTCATATGTTTTTAATTATAATCACTAACAGATTAATAGTTCAATTTTCACAATCCATTCAGTAGTAAAAAAGAGTGAATTACAATCCTAAATGGCAGAAACTAGATGAAGTAACCTAGTTATGATTTTAAAAAACCATTTGTCAATGAACTATGAAAATGACCCACGGTTTCACAAACAAACATTAAAACACTGAAACAAATACATGTTTTTATCACAAAGTTACAAAATTTGACCTCTAGTTTACTTCAGAGGGCTAGTATGATACAGGCAAGCCAACTACTTTCCCCTTGTTAAAAAGCATTCCTTTCTCTAATAAGCTTTCATTTATCCTTTTACTAGGGAGGAAATAGACAAAAGCAGAGGCTTGCACATGATAAATATCTTGCTTATGCCTTCTTCCCAAATGCCTTTTTCTCCAATAATGTATCTTTTAGTTTCACATAAATATTTCTGGAACAATGACATACTGTTAAAAACATAAATATTTCCTGTTAGATTTAAAATAAGTATCTCCTATAATTAAAGACCTGAGGTTTGAGTAAGATGTTGATAAAGATGAGAAAGGGAAGGGAAAAAGGAGAGGACATCATTGTTTTACTGTAAATTCTTTAATATGGAGTAATAAGTAGCCCTTTTTAGCTCTTGTTATGCACAATAAATAACTTCAAAATTCATGCATATGGAGAAAAGTGACAAATTATTGACAAACTACAACTCCTGTCTATGACTGAAATAGTGATGGTCTAACACAGCATACCTGAAGTTAGAATATATAAAAACATACTACATATTTAACAAATTATTAAAGTAATACACTGTAGTAAAGTTGTATGTCTGAGAACAGAAAAAATTAAAATGCAATTAAAGTAAGAGCAATTCTTACTGCAGTATTAGGAACCAAGAAAATCCAATTCATCAAATTTTTTTTTGTATGAACAGACATTTTCAACATGGTCTCTCAAAACCTGAACTGGCAGAAATTAAAACAACAGCAAAGGCAAGGAAAATAAGGCACTGAGCAATAAGAGGTACAGCTTCCACTGTTCATTGGTTCACCTACAGCTCTGGGTTACACCAATTGTATCACAGGACATTTTGTATATTTCTGTTAACTAAGAATCTTTTCAAGTGAAGGGAAATGAGGTATTTCATAAGGATTTGATTGTTCTTTTCCTAGAATACTGTGTAGACAAATTTGAAATTAAGTTACTTCGTTAGAGCTGAGCCTTTATTGATTCAATAAATTTTTATGTGTCTCCTGAGTGCTAAGTGTCCCACAGTGACTCATGTAGCCACAGTCCTTATCCTCACTGGATCTAACACAGGGCTAGATAGAAGTGAACAGTACTTAAGAGTAAACAATGAGTAGAGTATTACGACAAAACGCAAGTAGACATCTGCCTTGTCTTGGGACGAGCAAAGGCTTTCTGGAGTAAGCAGTGGCTGAGTTACGACTGAAAATGAACAGGAGCTCAAGGAAGTGGTGAGAGAAGGGTGTTCTTCAAGGAGTGAAAAGGGCACATGCAAAGGTCCAGCAACAAATATGGATTCAGTTGTTGAAAGAATTTTTGTGCAGCAAAAGCAGAGACCCATCAGTAAGGGTTAAGAGAAGTCTAAAGCTAGTCTATATGCCATGAGTCTGAAAAAAAGTGCAACAAGCTCACATGTAAACTAAGCCTTAACTTGGAATAAAGAGACAAAAGCAAATTGCTTATCATTCTAATAGTTTCTAATACAGAAAAAAATTAAGAATATTAATGGGAGGCTTGCACAGTTTCCTTACTGATTTCTTGTAAATGTTCTAGCCATATTTTGCTGTGTTGCTAGACATAAGACAAAGCCATTTTTTCTCTTAGGGATAAAGGAGCCGTCTGCAGCCCACTTAAAATTTTAGAGTTTGGTTTCTCCAAAGAAGGCAGAACTTTCTTGGACTCCTAGCCATGCTAGAGTAATCAGAGCTGGGATGACAAAACTGACTGCTCTTCATGCTTGAAATAGTAAGGCTGCTGTTGTGGCTGTTACTGTAACACTCCAGTGTATTTTCAGTCAAACTGCAACAGAAGTGGCACATTCATATACTTGGCTGTCAACTGCCACCTCATAACAGAGCAGAAATTTAATTATGTGTCTCACATCATAAATGGTACCATAGTCTTCATTTTTTGAGAAATATTCCCAGTAAAAAGTTCATATAAAGATAGACTCAAAATTTTTATTGGGGAATGTTTTTCAGTGAAGACAAAAAGAGAATCAAGTGTCCAATAGTAAGGCAAGCCAAGTCAATTACTGTGTAACTTTTTTTTTTAAAGGTAAGAGTAAAAAAGTCACATTTATGATTATTCCAACTAAGTAATGTTATTATTACTTATTACTTAGTTGAAAGAAATATCAGAATAAGATCTGCTCTTTACTTTCCAAATTGTGTGATGTGCATATATTAAAGTTTTTTTAAAAATAAGAGTAATATTAGTAATAATAAATAATATGTACATAGTACATAACACATACAAGGCTATTTTAGGACCCTTCACATGTTTCACTTAGGCACCCTCATAAAAATCTCACCACAACTCTAAAAGGTAAGTATAATTACTATCTCCAGTGAGGCTCAGAGAGGTCACATAACTTACCTAAAACCATGCAAGTAATTGATGGTAGAGCTGAGAAGTGAACAAGACAATCTGGCTCCAAAGTCAGTTCCTACATTCACCTCTCTAAAACAATGCTCAACCATTGGATCCTAATTCAAGTAAGAACTTTCCCTTTTTCATAAATCTATAGCACTGTTAATGATTTCTACACAACTCAAGAGCCTTATGTTATTTTAGGACACAGATTAAGAGGATACACAGTGTGGTACATCACCACGGTATTTAACAGATGGTCACAAGCTACACTTCAAATGCTTTTTATAGACTACTTGTAGGTCACCTTATACAGACTGTCCCTTATCTGAAATGCTTGAGACGAGAAGTGTTTGAGATTTGGGTCTTTTTTTTTCTTTTTTTCAGATTCTGAAGTATTTTCATACATTTTACTGGGTGAGTATGGCTAAGTTTGAAATCTAAAATGCTCCAAAATCTGAAACATTTTGAATGTCATGGAGCTCAAAATATTTCAGACTTTGTATCTTTGGATTAGAGATATTCATCCTGTTCCCTCTGTTTTATTATCTTCCTCTTCCTTGCTATGACAGCTTCTTGGCCCATTTTCTCATTACCACAAAATGCATGTTCTGTCTGCAGGACATATTATAATTATTTACCCTAAATCTAGGCCTTGAATTGACCTTTATTATGTACATAAATCATCCAGGAGGCTTGTTAAGATGCAGTTGCAACATCTCATCCCTAGAAAGTAGACTGCAGGTAACATTTTTTAAGAAATGGCTCTATTTATATTATTCTGAATTATGTAAGATGAAATATTTACTCAAGGCATTTAAAAAAATTGTTATTTTCTACCAGAACTGCCAGCATGTTCCTTCAAACTTTTTGTACATATTTCTTATAACTAAAAGCTCTTCCACATACTCAAAATCAGTCTTCCTTACAAAACCAGCTCAGAGAGTACACCCAATGGAATGTGTGGTATCTTTATCTGCCCCCTTTGGTCTGATTTAAAAAATTATGCTGTCTGCAATTTCTTATCAGAAAGGTGTTAATTACAGTCAAACCTGATTTCTTGTCCAATAATGATACTGCTCGATACTCTGAATAATTTTTTCCATCAGTTACATAGGATATTGGAATATGCCACGGGTAGCTATAAAAAGAACACATTGAAAGATTAGCTCTCTAATATTTCAGCATGCAGAAGAAATTTTTAAAGTTATTCCCAAACAGGGATGATATTATTAGGTTTTATAAGAACTTATGATTATAAAACATTTAAAAATACTTCAACGTGAAGGTACAAAAGAGACATCATGGAATGAAGGTATAGTATGTGTACCTTGCATCTGAAGACTGGATTTCAGGTTTCATACTCAAGAAAAATCTCTCTTGTTTTATAGAAAGTTCCATTCCTTTCCTGTGAACAGTCACTAAAGGAAATCCTTTCTGCAGGGTCCATGTTTTCATCATTTTCTTTACGTCTAATGTTTTGTTTGTAACCTATAAAATAAGAATAAATATTTGGCTTAAAGATAAAAATTAGTTTAAATTTTTTATAGTTTAATTCATCCATACTTTTCTTTTTCCCTAGCTCATTTTATAGACTACATTTAATGTTCATATTTAAAAGGTATTAATGCTGAGTTGAATTTACATTTATAATCTAGGTAAAGAGAAAAACTCACTAAATGAAAAGTAACCTAGAACAGAACTGAGTGATAACTAAGGGTGTAAGAGACAGATTATATTGAAAAACAGGACATACAATATCAACCTCCAATTCACTAAGAGTAACATCCTTGAAGCTGGGTGTGGTGGTGTGTGCCTATAATCCCAGCACTTGTGAGGCTGAGCAAATGGATCACCATGAGTTCGAAGCCAGTCTGTACTAACCTAATGAGTTCAACACCAGCCTGAAATACAGAGTGAGACTTGTCTCAAAAAAGAAATAGATTAACATTCTTAGAGTCATTAAGATTGAAACCCCTAAAAGGTACAGCCTTTCAGGTCACAATACTACTATTCAGAAGATATGACTGAAATGTATTCTAGAATGAGACTGGCTATTTAACACTGTGACTCAACTGAGTCCAGGTTTTATTCTCCTACTCTGTATCTTGTACGTATTTGTCTTTAAAGACTTAATCCTGTGGGAGTGCCAGGAAGCAGCAGTAGCAGAAGAGTCAGTGCCCTTGACTTTGATTGTCTTTAGAGAATACTATTGAAGTTTCTTGGTGGCTATAGATCTTCTTTCCCTGAAGATACATGAATCTGTAAAAGCTAGAGTTTAGTGTCAGAAACAGACCTTTAAAGCCCACTCTCCCCAAGGCATCTGCTATCAATGACATATTTGCAAAAAATCATGTGCCTCAATCCATAACATTATACCATTATGACAGGCTTTATCACAGCCACTGTATGCCCATTAATTTAAAGCACAAAAGAATGGAGCAGTTTTTCCTCAACTCACTGTGACATTAATCTTGCATTTCTCAGATCTTGTATATATTTACTTCTAAACTAGAGGATGACAAGAAAAGCAAGGTACTTTTAGGTGTTTGAAGCAGTACTAAAATGAAAAGGCCAGCACATCACTAACATGGATGCTGAAAACACTGAGGGTATCATTAGGACCACATTGGATGTGACATCATGATGCAAAGACTGAGTAAGGAAGGAGAAACATGTTCGAAATGCCCAGAAATAAGACAAAATTCAAAGAACAAATTAACCGAAGAGCAGTATGTAGCTCATGGAAGTCGATTTGTGATACATTCTCTACCAGAGAGTAATCTGCACTTAAAAGATAAGAGATTCAAAGGAAACAGTGCAGAACACCAAGAATAGAAGGTAGAAAAGATTAGGAAAATAAGTTTTTGAAAAAAGATCAAATTTCAAAAATATAGTAATATCTATCAATGTAGAGAAGATAACTCCCTAACAAATTAGAAATGACCATTAAGATACATAGTAGCTCCATTGTTTTCAACAGTACACCCGTTTTTGACTTTAAAATTAGTGCCCTATTCACAAATGTTTATACACCAAGCTCCATCCAGCTGTTTCCTAAATAACTACCCTTGGTATCCTAGACTCACTCACACACATGATAAAAATATAAACAAAAAAGCTCTTTCAGTAAAAAGTCAGAACTTGAGTCAAGTATCCAGCTTACTCACCTCATTGAAGCTGTCCCACAGATCATCACTCTGAATGGATCCATAGCTATGATTATGCAGGTAAAGAATAATAGCATGTTGAAATACATCTTCACTAAGGTAAGTTTTCAGCATCAACAAGAGAGAAGCTCCCTATGCAAAAGAGGGAGAGACAGAGAGAGAGAATAAGAAAAAAGGAAGAAATAATGAAATTTTATAGATGACAGTACTGAAAATCTAAAATTCAAAATAATCATTCTAAACAAGTGTTTTATATATATACCACCTCATTATATTACTAATCTCATACAGCTTAACATCAACTTTGTTCAAATTATCTGAACATTTACTTTAAGAGATTTGAAAAATAATGGAATTAGATTCCTATAAATACTAATTCTACCATGTGTTATTATATTTGATCAGTACACTGTTTGAAGTGTTACTAGTGGTATGTCCAGTATTTATAAAAATGTATTTTAAATTAAAAATACTAAATCCTCAATGCTTAAATATCAGATGACTCCATGAAAGGTATACTGCCACACACAAAATAAATTAACAGAGCTCTCCAAAGTCTCCTTGTTAGGTACACATTACTTTCTAAAGTTAGTATACTACCTTGCTGAAGTAAACAGCGTCTCTCTTCCTGCAGAGTCAAGTTTAAATGTGTTTGAAACCAATGAACATATAGGGCAACAATTCACAATCAGGTACTTTACTCTACAGGCCACACTGCATTGAGTCATGCACAACTCATCATTCCCAACCTCAAAATGATCCCCTCCTTGGTGACGTCTTTCTTAATTTGAAACAGGAATCCTATGTCTCCATCTCCAGTATGAATTTATATTCTATTTCTTCTTCTAGTCTGTACAATAGTTGAGGGACTAACTGGAAAACTCAACTACATTAAAGCAATGCCTACTACAATGCCTAGCAGTAAGCGTTAACAAGTTTTTGACTGAATTTCACATGATAAAAATGTATCAATGTTAAGCCATCAAGATTATTAGTACATATAAATTAATAGCTATTATTGTTTTTTTTAATTCATAGCTATTAACTGCTCTGTAAACTGAAGTACTCATTCTTGGTCTCAACTGCCCCCACTTCTTCAACCTCACCAACTTTTTCTTCTGTGCTGCAATGCTCTCATTAACAAAATAAAAACTGAGGCTGGGGGCTTAGCTCGGTAGTGTGCCTGCTTGGCAAACACAAGGTAGTGAGTTCAATCCCCGGCACCAAAAATAAATAAATAAATAAAAACTATTTACCATTCCTAATTTTAAATATGTCAGACATTAATCTGGAAAACTGTCTGGTGTCTTCCTTACCTATCTTATTTTTATGTACCTGCCTCTCCTCTGTGTTTTTATAATCATGGTTTTCTGTTGACCCTTATTATCACTCCTTATTCAAATTTTTACCATTACATGACTGAACCATATCATCAATTTCCTGACTTCCAGTCTCTACCCCTTTCAATTCACTTTATAAATTGAAACTAATTTAATTTTTTCCTAAATCAGAATTCTAATCAAGTCACACTTGAAAATCTTCTAAAGCTTCCCACTGCACACAGCAAAGACATCCAGGTTCCTTGTGACATCCAGAACCTTCTACACCTATCTGTCTCATCTTTCCCCTCCTTTACATGTGGCTTCCACTGTAGTTAACATGTATTTGCTATACGAATGTTTCTTGCCAATCAGTATTCTTGACTATTTATTTATAAATCCTATTATTCCATCCCTGCCCTAGCCTGCTCTCCCATTCCTCTTTACCTATATACTTATTATTTAACTCATTTTAATTCTCATTTTTCCAAAGAATCTCTTCTCAGAATGCCATGAAAAAAATCTCTGTATTACTTTAGCACATATTACCTCTGTTAGTACTCCACAGGTACTCATCACCTAAACTTTGAGCTTTATGTGACTTGCATCTCACGTTTCATGTATTATCTTCCATATTTAGTAGAGAAATTCAAATTAATAAATTGAGTCAATAAGGAGGCAAATGGGCCATAATATGCATGTCTCCATCATTGCAAATATGCATGATGATGTTTTTAATTTCTATTTTTCTTCATCATTAAACCTGGAGTTTGTGTTTCTGATTCTGTACTCCTATCTTTGGTTCTTACAATCTCTTTTTGCTTACTTGTTTTTGGGAATCCTAACTTTAGAATACATCTCAATTCTGACTAAAACAGCTAAGGGTTTACTCAGAACATTCCCTGCAACTTTAAGATGTGTGGAGTAAACCAACTTTAACAGATTCATTGTTGTAAGATCTTAGTGAATGCCTGGAATACTACTTGAAGAACTTAGAAGAGAGATATAGAAACACAGAAAAATACTCAAAAAATTAAGGTCAAACTTTAAATAGATTTAAATGTTTAAAATTTAAACATTCACAAATTCAACAGGACACCTGAAAATAATACTCATGTAATCCTTAAAATAATCTAAATCATGAAGCTTGCTTATATACAAAATTAATTTGAAGCCTACTCTAGGTACTTTTTTTGTGTACAGCAGTACCTTAAAATAGGGAAGAGAATCAAACATTTCTTCAATTTGTTCTGAAGACTGAACAGATGATAATATTGGACGAGATGAATTTAAAGCATCTTTCTTCATGGTTTTAAATCGAGCATCTAAGAAATCTTCATACTAGTAAAAAGTTGAAACAAAATCAAAGATAAAAGTAACCACAGCAATTATTTACATGAATTATTCTATTAAAGTTGTTCTGAAAAAAACAGCTAAACTAAACTTCAGAATATAAACTTGTGGAAGTACAGAAAGATTATGACCCTTAGACATATTCCTTAGTTATAACCTAGAAACATGAAAATCAGCATTTGCTAAATAAGAACACAAAATGAATAATGTATTACCAAAAACGTCAAACAGTGACATTCAGATGAATATTCTCAAAAGGTTAAAATTTATTCTAAAATAAAATGTGAAGTTTAAAAAAGAAACAAAAACCAAGCCCTTAAACTGATTTTTCACATATAGCCCATATTTTACTTTAGCATACCGTAACACTTCTTTAACATTTCTCTTGAGATTTATTTTCAATAAGACTTTTTAACAGAAAGAACTGAGACATTGGCAGATGAGCTTCCCTAGACGGTATATTAGGAATTTTTAAACATTCTGGGCACCACCAAGTGGTGAAAGTGTGTATCTCATTGCTTAATTAAGTACCACATACAGATTGTGAATACTTTGCTTATCATTCTAGATAAAATTTAATTCCTTCTATTATCTGAATCTTTAAGGAATTCCTAAATAAAAATTTCAAACTGAAAGCTCTAAGAATAATTTTGTTCTAAAGCAGTTTTGAATCATGTCTCCAGGAAGTTTAATAGTCTCTGAATTACAGCTGAAAGTAGTATTTACATTTTCCTTCCCACAACTTGAATTTTTTTTTGTAAAAATCTGTATTATATCTGAATGTCACTAAAGGTAGGAAATGTCTTCACAGAATCTAATAACATAATGACAACAGTATTATGCCTGTTTATATTAGTATTCTAAGTGTTTGAAAGAGGACACAAAAGATGGTTTGTAGCAGATTTGTTTATATCAACCTGTATGTCTGCTATTGTAAGAATGCCCACAATGATAAAAGAACACTGCTACAAAATGTTTTAACATTTTACTCTATATACACAGAATTAAAAAGTTTTGTTTTGCGAAACGTGGCTTTTGAACCTTATCTAAATTGCTTCTGACAGAAAGGACCACATTTGTTAAAAATAAAATAAAGCAGTGTAATTTAAGATAGTCATCTCAATGGCAAAAATATGTCACCTTACATAATTTCACCTTTTAATGAAACCAATAAATGAAAGCTTAATTTATAATTTATAAATTATAAACTGTTATAAGCTATTATATCTCAAGAGGTACAGACATCAGTAACAAGGGTCAATTTTATTACAGCTTTCTAGAAGTATTTTCATCATCCCAAAGGCACAGAAAATACATGGCAAATGTAAGCTATTTTAGCTCCTAGCATTCCCAGTAGGACCAAGACATACTATACTTACACTAGAGAGCTCTTTGAATATTTTTTCCAAAGAGAAATATTCCATAAACGTTGCAAAACCTTCATTTAGCCACAGATCGTTCCACCATTGCATTGTTACTAGATTGCCAAACCACTGCCAGAAAAACAAACTGTTAACCAACAGGATATACATACCCTCAAGAATTTTCCAACAATTGGCTGAATTGTCAGATTAACTCCCCATAACCAGATTAGAATATTTTAAAAGTGCTTTAGTATTATAATCCAAATAAAGTATAGGCAGATCAACTAGGATTTATTAAAAATTATATAATTCTACTTTAATAGTATAATAGAAATTTTCTCATTTTATCTTAAATGAAGGAGAAAAACAAGAATGATTACTAACATATTTATTCATTAGCAAATGTATAAATGAAAACATGCTATAAGATGAAAGCACTTTTTTAGCTGTCATAAAAGGACTTCTTAGACAATGAAATCCTTTCACTTCTTACTATAAAGTTAGGAAGATTACTTTCCATTGTATCTGTAATCACTCATGACAGCTGAAACTTTCTATGTAGGAAATATTGCTATAGTCGGAGGGCCTGTACATGATATTTCTCCTCAGTTCCCAAACTGAAGACAGTGTTTGCATGATTTAAACTAGAATTCAAACAACATTTTTAAAGAAAGCATGTGTGTGTGTGTGTGTGTGTGTATAAATGAAAGCAAAAAGCAAAAAGATCCTCAAGTGTTTTCTTCTATGAGGCAACAAAAAGAAAGAAAATACAATAGGAGACTGTCCTAAACAAACTATTGAAAATCCTTCAAATAAAAAGTGGTCAAAGAGTGTGTAATTTAGTCAATGTGGCCCAGAATTTACCTCAAATTAACAGCAAAAGATGGGGTAACTGCACACTGACATAAAATATTTTCACAATAGTGAATTTTTCTAAGAAGTTTTCTCAAAATCTTTTCACAGAAAGATGATCTATAAGTCTTAAAGAAGAAATAACAACAACAACAACAAAACCACTCTCAAAGGGGTGATGGGTGGCCCACAAATAACAGAGATCCCACAAGAGACAGCTTATCTCTATGGCCCATCCTAACAGTAAACATATGCTTCCGCTTGCCAAGAAGTCTTCACAAGTCGACAAAGCCATACAGAGATGGAGGTAGAAAGTAAATCAACCAAAGCATTTCCTATTTTTCTTACACATAATCCACTCCATGACATCCTAAACCACACCCAGTGCTGACAAGCACCGCACATCCTGGGCCCAATAGAGGTAGACAACATATTCCCACACAATTGCCTTTTTTCTCTATGCTATACAAACAGTACCCTAATTTTTACTAACAATATCCCTCTTCTATTTATATGAGATAGCTGAGGAGTAGCAAAGAAAATGAAAAACATAAAACCAGACTTAACTATGGCTCAAGAGTCGTCAGAAGAGATTACAATTTAGAGGGAAAGATTCTTCCCTACAAAATTATACTGAGCTGTTGGCATTTCTCAGAGAAAAGCAGATTTATGAGAGGAAAAAAGAGATCTTGAAGAAACAGCAACACTTCAGGCCCAGTGTTACTTATTATTAGCTGTGTGACTTTGGGCAAATCATTTATTTCAGCCAAGTCACAGTTTCTGGACCTATAAAATGGGATTATCACCTGCCTTACAGCAGTTATGAAGTGAAATAATGAATGTAAAAATGCTTTAATTGTAAAGTTCTACACAGCATTTTCTTCTGGGAATTTAAATTTGTGTTAAAAAAGCATCTTTTGATTATTAAAGAAAGCAATACTAAAAGAAGATGGAATAATTAGTAATGTATACATATATTCTGAAACTCTAAGACATGAAATAGACAGCACATGAGATGTAAAAGCACTTGTTAGCACCTGGTGGGCCAGCTCATGAGCGATGATTTTAGTAATCAGTTTTCTATCCGCCACTGAAGAAGTGTTATTGTCATATAGAAGTGTCTCTTCCCGGAAGGTGAGTAAGCCCCAATTTTCCATTGCTCCTGCTTCAAAATCAGGAATGGCCACCAAATCTGTACACAACAGGAAAGAAGTGATCAACTTTCCCTTATGTAAGGTGCTCCCTTGCTAAACCAAAATATTTTACCCTTGAGTTTGTCACTGTGAGGTTGTGAATTCTTTTCACACTCTGTAACAAACAGAGTCACCCTTACTGCTGGTTCCTTCCACACCTCTCCAAAGCATTTGGGTCACTGTTCCACTGTCCCTTAGCAAAGGAAAAAAGTAGCTAATTCCCTCCAATGAACTACATTCTTAGATTAGGAGGATGAAGTTCAGGGCCAGTTCACACTGAATAATACTGAAATCTTCTTGTTTTCCTGAACTCCCATTATGTAGTTTTTACTTTTTAAATTAGGATTTTCTTGAAGTTTCTCAAACGCAAGACAAAGCCCTCAGTAAACTCATTTTTACAGCACCACTGTGACAGGCCTATACACTTCCTAAGTGTTTTAAGTTGCAAGTTCAGAAAAACTCATGGAATGCAAACCATTTTAACAATTTTTAACACATTAAAAACTTTTTTTCTTAAATAAGTTTGACAAAACCTCTTAATAAACATTTATAAAACACATTTAGGTAATAACTGCAGTAAAAATCAGAGACATTGTTTGATTCTTACCCAATTTTTTAAGTGGGTACTGAATTTCAAAGTAGTTCTGATAAAATTCAAGAAGCTTCACTGTGGTTTCCAAGGCATGGTGAACTTGACCAATCTTTTCTGGTACAGCATATATAGAAACCTAAAGGGAATATTATACAGGATGTGAGGACAGCTACTCAAAATACTGTAATTCAGAAACAGCATATTTGAGAAATGCAAAGATTTCTGAGATCTTTCAGGACAGGAACTATTATAGTTATTTTAGTCTTCACAGAGTTTTGTAAGTATTTTCAATGAATATAACCCTCCTCCCCCTAAAACAAACCTTAATGTTTCCTTTATTTTCAAGCTATCATAACTTTCCAAATAAACTAGTTTGGGCCATCATATAACAACTTACAAAAGTTTACTCATTTAATATTATGACATTCTTCCTATTTCATTACCTGCAGTTGCCTATCCTCACTTATGAACTATGAAGACTGAATTATTTGAAGTACAAAACATTTTATCTTTTGAGCACCAATCGTTAATACTTGGCATCTAAATACAGAGAAGTCACATCTTACAGTGGAGTTAGTTCTAAAGATAACTTATGAGGCATAAAGTACATACTTCTAGAAACTGTGTTACAGAAAACTGATTAGAGATAAATATACTCTCATTAAATATGGATAGCCAAGTTTTCTTCTAGTGCTGAAACTTACTTATATATTCATTTTTTCAGTTGTTGATTTGTTTTTACAGATCATGTTATCATATACATATAGTGAACCCTTATACTGAGTAGCACACAAAACTAAAACCAACTAAGGAAACAACCGATTCACGTCTTCCACCGCCCATTTACTCCGGGGCATTTGCTAAGGAGAAAAGTAGATAGAATCATCCACATTATTTAAATGGCTATTCTTTCTTTTTGTGATAAATACGTAAGTTAAATACATATAACTATAAACACAACTTAAATCTGACCCCAAAAAAGTACTTATCCCTATTTCTGGAATAGAATAGCTAGAAGAAAAATGTAGTTTGCTAATTTCTCTTGTTTCCTCTTTTTCTTTCTCTTAAAAGAACATGTTTTATGAGTTTTTACTAAAGAGAAATCTTCATTAACATTCTAAGAGCAACAGAAGCAGTAAAAAGTAAAGAGCACAATCTATGTCTGCCAAGGAAGTCTTGGAACAGCATTCTGGGCTTGAAGAGATCACTGGTGTAGATGTAGCTCAGTGGGAGAGCCTATGCTCAGCAAACCCAAGACTATGCTTAACTCCCAACTAAAATCCCACAAACAAACCAACAAAAACACTGTTAAATGGAATTCTGCTGGTCTTAAGATTTACAATTTAAAACTTTTCTTGGCAGATCTCTTACAAAGACCTTATGGTTGATTCTAAAAACAAAAATACTGTAGAAAGATGTGGATCAGCTCTGAGAAAAAGATTCTTAGTTTCTGAAACAACAGATCTGTTAGGTTTCAGTTATCTTTTCCTTACATTAATAAAAACAAAAACCAACAGAAGCAAAAATAGGACCAAGTTCCATTTTCTCCACAAGAAGAAGAAAGAAAGAAAAATGTGGCTTACAAGATATATAAGGAGAGAAAATACCAAGTTTTAATACTACATTTCCTGAGAAACACTGGCTTCCCAGGTAACTGGACACAAAAAAGCATATGTCACTAAAACAACCAAAAGAGTATCGGGTCTATCTAGAATAATTAGACGGACCACAGGTACAATGTCCCAGGCTGGTAAAAAGATAATTGAGGCAGAAAAAGTTTCAGTGGAAATTTCAAACAAAATCATACCCCTGATTAAATGTGAATAAACAAGATTATAACCACAAAGATAATAATGATGAAGATTATTTAAATGTTGATTGCTGGATGTGAACTAATCATGAATTGTGATTCTACCAAGTAGGACTGTCTATGATTAAAGCAGTATATTCCACCACCATTTTACCCAGAATTTTCTAGGTAATTCTGACAGTCCTGGAGGCAGAGAAGTCTAAGGAATAAGGGCAAAGAATAAAATAAATATTGTTTTCTGTTTAAGCCTTTAACATGTTCTTCTTTTTCTCTTCTTTCTTTTATTTCATTAATACATGTTTGCAGTACATGCATTTTAAATCATCTTGGGGAGCTGGTACATGTATGGAACACAGCTTGCTGCTTTTTTTAACTCTCCTTCCATTCCTCTTGCTCTCTCCTCCTTCTGTTCCCCTTTATCCCTTTTCATCCTTGTTGATATTATTAATCTTAGTTCATATTTCCAGGCTACTAGGTAAGTACCACAGAGCTACACTTCTAGCTGTAAAGCGTCTTTATTACTGAATGGGACATGCTACAGTCAACATTTTTACTTGTTTGGTAAGAATCACACTACCAACTACAGCCATTTTTCCTAAATCTTGTCAAATATATTTACTGTCAAATATCACAAAATAGAAGTGATCTTAGAGACTGCTACATTTTAACACAACCAAAGTCCTTGTAAAATAAAAAAAAAAAAAAACCTCTCCATGTTTTGAAGTTCTAGTCACCGTATCTCCAGAAATTATTTGTAACATTTGGTGCTTACCAAAATACAAAGAAGCAGCTGTGAAATTTCCTCTGTCACTTACTGGCTACACAGTCTTAGCTCAGTCTCCTTACCTGAGACACTGTTTCCCCACTGGCAAGATGGCATGCTTAGGTCCTCCACTCAGTCAGTTATAGAATGAAAAAAATGTTTATGATGCCTAGCACAGCTGCTAGCACAGAGTATAATTCCACACGTTACGTTAGTCATTTTCTACTAAAAAGGGAGGAAACTATTAAAAATTGCCATTTACTTATGTAAAGTTTTCAAACCATATCACCACTGGATAACAGTAAAAGCTAGATTATTTGTATCTACTGACAAGCAAGGTATTTCACAATATACTTATATACGAGACAAAGGAAGTGTGCACCCTATATACGTATATATAATATGCATGCTCACATTATGTGGATTTTCGTGTGTGTGTGTTTGTATGTGTGTATAATATTAGAGTTGTGGAAGGCGGGGTATAATGAAGATTAGAATACAGTTTTCTCAAGGGCTCAGAGCTGCTAGATATGTGGAAGGGATTCTGACTCAGGAAGACTCTGGGGGCTATGCTTAACCATGCCGCTTTCTAATATAAGTAAATAATAAAGGAGAAAAAAGTCACCTGAAACTCTTTATCAACCTTTGCCTCTCTTTCTAGATGTACACACAAACACACACACACACACATACAGGGATATAAGAATGAATAAATTCAGCTTGACTAGCTTGAGAATTCACACTGGAGCAAAGGAAAACATAGCTGAATTTATAAGGAAAGATTTGAGTATCAGAATGAGTTTGAATACAACCCTACAGGTAGTAACAAGCCAACATAGCAGATGAAAGAGAGACAAAGGTGGAGTGAAGGAAGCAAAGGGGTAAGAGTCTTTAAAAAGCCTTTTATTCTTCTATATTACCAGTATGTGAAAATACTAAGATATTAATTCTCTACTATTAAAGTACAAAATCTATTTAAGTAATCTTTTAGAAACAAAGAAAAACAGAGAACCCATATTAGAATAAAGGATCTATTTTGCAAAATATAAATAAACCAGACCCTTAAGTTAAGTAATCTTACTCATTCTCTATAAATAAACTTGGCCAGGACTTTCTGGGGGTTTTGTTTTATGTTTTGATGCTAGAGCTTACATCCATGTCCTTGCACATGTTCTACCTAAGCCACCTCGCAGCCTCCAGGATGTGCTTTAAAAGGGCAGGGGGATCTAATTTTATAGTCTATGCAATATGACAGCCTCCAGCCCTAGGAACATTCAGAGCATGTGACATGTGGCTAGCAAGACTGAGGAAGTGAATTACAAGTTTTATTTAATTTTGATCAATTTAAATCTAAATAATTACATAAAGTTAATAACTTCTGAACTGTTTAACACATTTTTAGAAAACTATAGACATATGTATGTAAGTTGTCTTACTAGAATTCCTTTATAAAAGTAATAAGGTACGTAAAAATTATTGGCTTTCAAGCAGTGAGCTAAGAATAATAAAAGTAAGTAAAAGAGTATTTCTGGTATAAATTGTCAGAGTGTGATCAAAACACTTACTTTTCTTCATAAGGCAGAAATTAGTAAGAAATTTCTCTGAACCTCCTTTGAGACAGTTTTTTGGACAATTACTGCATCAACCTACCAGAGTTCCATTTACATCCTGACTCAGGTTCTTCATCTCGCCTACAATGATGGCAACCAGGTAGGTGCTCATCCTCACACTCTCAAAAAACTCATCCTGAAGAAGTCCGTCTCCCACAAGTGCTGAGGATTTCTATGAGCAAAGAGAAAATGTGACAGTTCTATAATTGCAGAAATAAATGACAGTAACAAACATACCGAGAAACTACAAAGGACATGAATAGCAAAGATGCTGGCATATTTTTCAACCCCTCAGCCAAAATTTCCAGAGGCAGCATGGCCCTTGGTCTCAGTTTGTTCCACCATCTTTCATCCAGAGGACACACTAGTACAGTGGGAATTCTTGAGTTTGCAGCCCCAGGCTACCTTTAAATTCACGTATGTTAAGAGTTCTGGTTCCATTTCTTCCCCTTAAATTCCACTAAAAACCTAAATTCTTTCCTATGACCTGGGGATCGCTCTACTTTACTGCTACAAATACAACCACAGAAGTGGTAGTTACAGCTCTGCTACTCTCCAAGTAATGGGAAAGGGCTTCACAGAAAGCCATATTGAGAAGACCAAGGCAGCTTAGTGGGATAAAAGGTCATAAATCACCAGAAGTTTGTAGCAGACACAAAATAAAAAAATACAAACAACATGTAGGGCTTTACAATCATTAATTAAATGCTGGCAAATAGGCATCCACTTGGTTGCAAAAGATTAAAGTGAAGAGTGTGGTCAGAAGTGGAGCTATCAGAGTGGCGTTCCAGACAGAGCGGGATCACGTTGTCTCCTGTTGCCTACAGGAATGGGCCCACGGGCTACTGTGTATGGTTCTCCTCTGCCTTAGCCTTAGTGGGCAGCTCCTTCAGATGTGTGAGACAACATAACCACACCCTAGGTTCTGGTTAGCAAGGAAATTCCTGCTTAGTTTGATGCCCACTGCCTCCCACTCAGAATTAATGCTCACAAGGCTCCTGTTCATGTCATCACCCTCCAAGTTACTGGGACACCAATTTTTATTTACAAGGAAAACACCAAGAACAATCATGATTCCACACTATCAAATAACACTATTTGGATCAGCAAATTCACTCTCAGAAATTATCATTTTCATCTTGTACTAGCTCATAGTAGTAACATTTAAACAACTTTCACATAGGACACATTTTCTACCCACACATTCCAAGTCCAATAGGCCTTTTTCTTTAGTGCATTAACAGGTCCACTTCTCAACCGATCCCAACAAGTACCAATACTTTATTTTTTTATTTAAGTGCTATTAATGTACATGACTCTATTCTCACCTTTAGCCTGGCAAAGAGGAAATCTGGCATTCTTAAAGAAGCAAATCCACTCAAAGATTTCACATTCAAAAAAAATGGAACTGTACCTTAGGCATATTTGATAAAGCAGTGTATTGCTCCTCCCTTGTGATCCTGATGATAAATGTGGCTTTAAATGCTGGTTCGTCAAAACAAGGAAAAGCAGATCTTGCTGCCAGCGGTTCAAACTGAGTTGCTGCAAAGTACCTAAAACAGATACAAATTCAATCTGATAGTTATTGGTCACTTGCAAAATAAGATAAACACGATATACTCCTAGTTATTAAAGGACCCCTAGCTATTAAAGGACTCCTAGTTATTAAAGGACTCAGTGGAAAGCTGAAGCTTATGGATAAATACTTATGTCATAATGCAAATCATAGTCTAACAGTGAAAACAAAGCAGTAGATAAAAAAAAGGTATGGAACAAATTCTAATTAGAGGTCAAATTCACTGTTAGAAAAGGGGTACAAAGTCCACAAAGGGCCTTAAAACATGAGGAATATTTGAAAAGGTAGAGAAAGGAAGAATGTACTGAAAGAGTTGGCAGCACTAGGATAGAGAGCAAGCAGTGCATGTCTGGGGCAGGGCAGCTGCCAAGTGTGGCTGGAAAAGAAGCCACAAAAGGTAAGCTGCAGCTTGCCATCGGGATCTTAAATAGGTTTCTCACGGAAGACCAATAAGGAAGGGTTCTACTAATTAGCTGTACAAAGTCTTGCTTTGTAACAATAAACCTCAAATTTACAAGCTGCATTTTCATGAGTACTGACAAATACAGGTGACTTGTAGTACTCTGGTTTCTCTTACTTTTTTTAATGATGAGTCAAAAATTTCCTTTCTTACCTACCACAGCACCAACTGTTAAAAGATTTTAACACATATAAAGGTTCTTAATAATAATAATATAATAATAAGACTAAGGAAAAAGGATGAAAAGAAATGGAAAAGTGCAGATTTCCAAATAAGTAGAGAAATAAAGCAGGTTTCCATTTGGGAATGTATCTAAACATGGTCACAAAATAATAAGGGTAGGTGTGGCCCTGTTGTATAAATTCCAAGCACAAACACCACTACCCCACAGGAGTGTCTCTTGCTTAGGGCTTCTACTGTTAGAAGACAAATAGAAAAGAAAGTCTGGGATTTGAATTTTAAGACCCAAACTCTAACGTTTATCAGCCATATGACTTTGGGCAAATCAGTGACCTAGGTTTCAATTTCCTTATTTGTTACTGTGATTGAGAAAGACTCCCCTTTCAAACACCAGACAAAAACCACTTGTATACTATAAAGCCTTACATTCACAATACACAGCTGTAATATTTATTGCAAATGCTACACAACCACAACTGTTTTATACTTAAAATCACTGTATTTTTTTTCCTGGTAAGGACATGTCTTAATACCTGTTTCTATCCTGTAAACTATAATAAAGGTAGCAATCACCATACAGGAAACAATTTAAACATATTAAGTTTTTAATATTCCATTTTTTCACCTTGCCCTCAGGATTCTTATTTAACAGAATGAAATAGTAGCCAGGGAATAAATTTGATAATATACCTATTCTTCCTAAGAGAGCCTAATTATGGATAAAAACTAGATTATAATATTTTAAGACAAATAAAATATTAATATTAAAAGAGAAGCAATGATTTTTTAATTTTTATTTTTTGAGACCGAGTCTCACTATGTGCAGCGATTTCCCCTAACTCAGCCTCCTGAGTGTTGGGATTACAGATATGTACCATATACCTAGAAATAATAACTTTCTTATAAAAATCTTTTTGAAAGGCGTGCTTCTTGATGATACTTAGAATTTGCCCTATGTAGGAGAAATACTCTGAGACTTCTCTTTCATTGCCAACTTTCCTTTTAGAAATACTAGTTAAAATTCTATGGCTTTGTCAAGCAGCGCTAAAACAAACGCAATTTCGCAGTTAGGCAGTAACAGCACTGTAAATACTAGGGATAACAAAATAACAATGTAGAATCATTCATGGGAAAATGGATCCACCCTGAGATTATAACATTAAGTGAAATAAATCAGACATACAAGCCTATATATTATATAGTTTCTCTTATATGAGAAACCCAAAATACAAATAAAGAGCAAGAAACAAAACAGTAATAGGAAGGGCATCAAAAGAGATGAAGAGAAAGGAGAGGGAGGGAAGGGAAAGAAGAAATTAAGCTGTGTTATGTAAAAGTATCAACTCCCCCACAAGGAATGTAAGCATGTACTGGAAATATATACTAATACAAAAAAGGAAAAGCAGTGTGAACTAGGGAAGCAGCGTATCACAGTGGTAAAATGGATGTAGTTAAAATGGCTTTAGGTTTGAGTTCCTTGTCTGCTATCTGCTAGCCATAAGACATAAGAGGCACTTTACATGGCCTTTTGTTTCCTCAGCCATATAGTGGAAACACTACTTCTTAGTGGGTTTCACACGACTAAAGACTAAACATATGAAATGCTTGGAACAGCTTCTAACATTTCAGCTCCCTATAAATCCTGGCCATGACTGCATTATCACTACATATTAGGAAAGGGTACACCATGTTCAGCACGGCAGATGAGGGCTGTAAGAAAGAACTAGAGTCAAATAATGAAAGGTCTTGAACCGAATTGTGATAGAAATGAAGTGCTGAAGGACTGTAAGCTGAAAGCAACATGACTGTCAATACTTACAGGACAAATACAGAAATAAGTTGACAACCATGTAGAAAACAAGGGTAGTGGCAGAAGTTGTAAGAGTGCACATTTTTTAAAACTGCAAAATCTAAATCTTTATCTTCTATCAAGAAACATAAAAATGTGGGGGCTTTCGTTTCATTCTAACAGGTAAGTTAAGGAACTTATAATTTGTTTAAAATAGGAGCTTTGTAGACTATTAAAATACTATTTTTATTTTTTTGTAGACTTTAAAATACTATTTTTAGTTTTGTATTTCTCAATTTTAAAGAATCACATTATATTTTGTAGTATATTTCACAACTCAACTCAGCCCAGGGCAACAGCCAACAAGTGTTCATACCAAAACTCAACTTACTGTTATACAACATTTGTTCTTCCCATTACACAGTAACTGGCCCATGGATTCTGGACAATCATTTGAGCAGATGAGATAGCTAGGGGGCCTGCTTCAAAGGTCTTTTTTGATACTAAGTCATTGTTTTTAGGTATGTCCTATATTTTCTAGGGATGATAGAGATTATGGACAGAGAATTGAAGCCAAGAACTTCTAAATTGCCAAAGGAATTCCAAATTTGTGTTCAATGTCAGACATCATGCAAGAATATTTGAAAAGACTTATGTAAAAGAACAAAAACTATCTGAATAGAACTATAGAAGTTGCTTTGTCCTCTCTCCATTTAAGAAAGATCAAATAATTTCCTGAACACAAACATAAGTCACCTCTCTTTTTCAAGACATATTAACATACATTAGTTAATTGACCAGAAACAGTAATTTACATCCAGATTTACAGGTTAGTATGAGAGAATGCTCCATTTACATATAGCAGATGTAACAAAGACTGTGAACATTAAGAGAATATTCTGACATTATTACTACTTATAAATAATCTACATGCAGTATACTGAATATTTTTTCAGATATTCCAGCTATAAACTACGAATACTGAGATTCAAGTACTAAATACATGGTCTAAAGAAGGGGCTCAATATTTTTGCTTAATTTCATCTTTCCATCAGAAATCCAATAGTGAGAGAAATTTTTTTAAAAAAGTAAATTAATACAGATTAAGGATATTGAATATGATATTCATAAGCATATCAGACTTCCTGCCTTCTTTACCTCATTAAACACTGCCTCAAAGTTCTGCAAATTAGAAAAATAAACCTAGTTTTCTAATCACTTCCTATTTCCTCTGCTTCCCACTTCATAGTCACAAAAAATTACATTTATACTATAACATGAAAAGCTCAAGATAACTTAAGCTTTCATGAGACTATAATTGATAAAAATCTTTATCCCCCACTATCAGCACATTCCTAGCCCACGCCACCATGGTACATGGACAAAGCTTTGCCTAAGAGAAACAGGACATTCTTCCAAATCACCATTATATTCTGAACATAATTTCTTAAGTTTAAAAAAAAAACAGTTCTTGTCCCTGGGTAAAAGGATCCCTATTGCATAAGTTATCATAAAGCAAAGAACCAGAATCATTCAAGAGGGCTACATACTTTTTCTCATTACTTTCATCTTTGTAAATGATGCCATAAAACCCATAGTACGAACTAGATATATTTGCTGAATACTCTATCTTCAAGGTATAATTGTGACCTGGTAGAAGGGCTTCTGGGGCAACAATGGCAATTTGTTCATGATATGGATATTCCAAGACTTCAACTTGTTTTTCTTGGCTTGAAACTGCTGACATGAACATCACTCTTGAAATATTGTGACCTGTGCTATGAAGAATGATATTCCATGTGGCTTGAAGAGCCTGAACTGAAACTGTCACAGAACCCCTGAATGTCATTGAAGTTAAGTTTGGGTGTAAGTCAAGTTCATAGCGTTGTGGTATAACGGCAGTAGGAAGCCTCAGTTGTGCCCATGGAAATAACTTCCCATTTGTTGCAAGTGGCTGAATTAGTCTCATTGTTTGATTTTTTTTATGGCAGCCTTCTTTGGTAAAGGTACATCTAGGCAGTAGGTAAATCACCATGATGACGGAAACGGCAACCACAATGACAAAAGCACAGATCACCAAGGTCCTTGCAGAGGGTACCGAACAAGCCCCCTCCATACCCTGCCTGTAGCCAGCTGCACTGTTCCGAAGGCCAGAGCTTCTGTTCATAAAGGACATGCCCAGCAGCTTTGCAGATGACTCATAATCCTCTTCGTCTTCATCCATCTCATGTTCACCAAGACCTCGCACCAGCAGTCGGGAGCCACGGGGTTCATACTCCACTTCATCAGGCTCTAAGGGATGTAAACAAGGCTCTTTGGCTAAATCCACCACATCTGGTTCTTCCTCAAACATACTGTTTTCAATCATATTCCTGGGGAGCTGAAGTCTATCTAAAAAGTCAAAACATAAGAACAAAGCACAAAATTAGGGGGAAACATGTAATACCATATCTTCTAGCAAGACCAAATTTACCTAAAACTTTTTAAATCATTAAGACTTGTTTCCATTTTAGAGCTACTGAATTAAATGGTTATAACATTGTTGAAACATCCATTAAAAAATCAACCATGAATAAAAGTATACCACAATCATAAAACAAAAAGCTAATAAACATATTAATTCCAAAAAAGACAGATGAAATTACATATTAATTTCCTTAACACATTTCTGCCCAACTACCTGGGCCCCTGCCATAGGTATGAAGAGGGCTACTTTGGCCTGCCTCTGGCTGTGTCTGTCCCCAAAGTGTAAGGAGTCAATACGATCAAAAGTATGTCACCACCTATAATCCATGGCCTTCTTTCAGAGTTCATTTACGTGGACTCCAGAACTACTGTCTCAAAGCCTGCAAACTTGCTTCTATGACCTTTGTGATCTCACCTTTGAGTCCCCCTCTTCCTAGGGAGCACAATAAACTGCTAGGCCTAAGCAACAGGATGGACTATTGTTTCTCCCCCGAGACAGGGATGTTCTTGTACCACACAAGGCAAATTTCCATAAGGAAGCATATAAATACATAAGACTCTTAAGACTCAGATAAAACTACAATGCAATCTATTTTACACACTTCCATCACATTCAAGAGTACAACACATTCCCATCTGTAACGACTATACTATATATATACCATGAGTGTTAGTATCTTGGGGTGAGGAAGTGGTAGAAGCTTTTATAAAACACAATGAACTACTCCAATTTCCTTACAATAAGTGAGAAAAAAATAATACCATATATACACACCAATAAGTCTTAATTCTTAGCATTAAATTATTCAATGTTCTTTACTTTAAAATAATAAAACTTTATTCTGTAAGAAATTTCAAACTACAACTACCACTAACTTTCCCTACAAGTTTTATCTCTATCATTTCTAATCCTCAGAACACTTCTGTAAAGTGCCAGATATGATAGCTTGAAAATGAGAAAATGGAAAAACAAAAATGGGTTAATTTATTTTCATAGCCACATAGCTATTTTAAGTCATAAAACTGATATTGGAATCCAGGTCTAAAAATCTAATTTCAAATGTTGGACTCTTTCCATTATTTTATTGCATCCTCTTAAACTAATTCAATATGAGAGTACTGTGTACAAAGCCCTAGGTTATAACTTGGGGCTGGGAGAATAAAAGATCAGAGCGTGTATCTAATCTATCCTGTACCTAACAATGAAGTTGCTAAACTCATTATTCCATCAGAACAAAGAACCCTACACTAAACTATTTAATATCTAGCTTAACAGAAATGTATTTTTGTGCTAAAATAATAGAACAGTAGCAATTCATAATTCATGACATGAAATACTGATAAATACTAGGATAAAATTAATAGTTTTGTAACTCAAAGTGATATGCTAACCGGACACATTCACATCATTTTGTATTTTACTAGAAAAGCGGACTCTCATGTTTTTTCTTAAACACGAATTTCATAAAATCCTCAGGTGACTTACGTGCATGTTAATCTAAGCCTGTTCCATGTTTCCCAACTGTACTCTGCTCATCCCAGACTGCCACTGCTCTGAAAACAAGACAGAATATACTATTCTCCAAGTGGTTTTCTCCCTCTATTCCTCCATCTGGATGCAGCATTTCTCCTTCCTGACCCATACTACCTGGGGAATATCTGTTACTGTAAAAATCAGTTTTAACTATCTACAATGTAAATCAACGAAAGCTATATTTTGTTTTTCCCTTTTATACATTTTCCTGGTTTTTTTGTTTTTTGTTTTGTTTTCATTCTCCTGGCTTTGAACTCAGTGATCCCCCTTTCTTGCCTCAAACTCAGTGATCCTCCTGCCTCAACCTCCCAAGTGCTGGGATTCCAAGTATGTATCACCATACCCAGCTTTTTATTACCTTTTAAAAGTAAATGTTCTAATCATTTTTTTCCTTGACCATTCTTGCTTTGGGTGACATGCAAATGCCAATGAGAATGACTTTTCCCACCTCTCTCCATTCTGAACTTTTACAGTTATGCTATAAAAGTTTTCTTTTAATAAAAGTTTAACCATTTCCAAAGTGTGGATTTAACAAGCTACCATCTATCCATCTTCTGTGAGAAGTCTGAAAATGAAACAGTTGCTATAATATTTTTGAGAACTTTTGAGAACTTAATTTTTCTAAGCTTCCTATAAATGTCTCAACTTCTTGTGACAAAGTCTGTTTGATAGTTAACTGATTGGGGGTTATGCACTTCATTAACAGAAAAAATACTGCTATATTTGAATCTCCACCCCCTCACCACTGTGCTAATGTTTTAGTACATGTCACAGTGCTGCAAAATTAACTGTGTAATTTATATTGCTTTTTAACAGTATCTAAAAGGCTTTTTCTGAATTTTTTAAACTCACATGGGAAGATTATGCTCCCTTCAGCATTTGCCCATGTATTTTCTTTTGTGTGGGACCTGATGCGGACAACAATAGGCTATGTTCTGTATGTTTTTATTTAACAAATTTCTAACTAAGTTTAAATAGAGTCTCACCTTATAATTAAGCATTCCCATCCCTGAATTCAAATCCCTCAGAACTTTCTTCTTTTTTGGTGCTGGTAATCAAACCCTGACTTCAAGCAAGAACTTTGTTTTCAAGTCTAATTCTTCATCTATGTCCTATTTAAGGTACAGTTTGACTATGGACCACTTCTTGTCTGTACTTCATTAACATCTAATCTTCTGGGAAAGGCTTATTATTTAGTAATTAATAAATTCAGATGAATAGTTATACAGAATTTTAATCTTTCAGAAGTAGAGCTCATCAAACCATCTGCTATATTTTATTCCATATTAGAATCACACTTTTTCAGTGTATACTATCATAACAAGTTAAATGTATCAAACCAGGGAACCTACTTTTATTACAAGTAGCTCATGAAGAGTGTACTTTAAGATTATTTAGAAAAAACGGTGCTGGTTTCATTCTTAAGTCAGCAAAATGTGAGTTTATCTTAAATCATAATGTAACAAATTATTACTTTTGCTCTAATGGGATCTTATTGCTACCGAAAGATACAGTCTTGAAAGAATAGGGAATTTTCTAAAACTTCTTTAAATCTACATATACAAGCCATCTATATGTCAAAATTACGAGTTTTAAATAACACAGGTCCATGTGGTTTCAATCTAAGAGAATGAAGACATTCCTTTTCATCTAATACTGTGATCTAGTTCTCCTTGATGGTGTTGGTGGACCAGTGCCAATCCACAAACTGTCTCTTAGCCATCTGTGACAGGATACACATAGAAAATCAGCATTCAAAAACTTATTGCAATTGGAGAGAGTATTTTATGTCTCTCAAATTTAAAATTTAAAATTGTACTAATTTTTCACATGTCTTTAATTTCTTTTTCCTAATGATGAATTTTTTATATGCTACAAAATTTCTTCAACAAACCAAAAGGAAAAAAAAAATCTCATTCTTTAGCTTAGATAACCTGAGAAGCAATGGGTTAGACCAGTGGTAGTGAACCTATAGCTTGGGTGTCACACAAAGCTGTTTGTATCACTGAAACCTAAAACATTCACCATAATGAGGGTTAGACTGCCACTATAACAGCAATTCAGGTAAGATAAGGTTTTCAACTATGATGCTAGCACTGGAAGTGAAGAGGAGGGAAAGACTGTATATTACGTTAAAGAGAGAGGATGCATAGGAATTTATGCTCCTTTGGGCCAGAGGCAAGTAGAGCAGAGACTTGAGGAAAATTGATGTCAACTTCTATGCACATTGTACGTTGGATAACCAAAAGCAGTCCCTCACTGAGATTGAGAATATAGTATAGATCTTCGTATTATTTCTTTATGAGGAAAGGAAAAAGTGAAAATGAGGTTCTGAGATAGCATTGAGTATGGGACATACCTATACGATACAGCTGAGTAGAAATGATTAATTATATTATAGAGCCCAAGGTCTGAATTTTCATGGAAGTTCAAATTTGGGTTCTATCAAAAACAGGTTACCTCTGTTAGTCTCAATTTCCTCACCTATAAATGTGGACATCATTTTTCTATAGGATTGTCACAAGGATTATGTGTTACGGGACTGGGGCTCAAAAGAAGGATGTAGGTAGAAGACTAAGATCTTCAAGTTATCTGGATATAAACACTTCAAAGCATGGAGATGTGTGAGATCACTGAAAAGAGATGAAACAGAGAGTATTAGACTTTAGGAGAGAAACAAGGAAAGAGGAACAAAAAAGGAGGAGGAGGAATGGACTAGAAATAGGAAAAAAAGTAAAATCTTAGAAACTAAGAAAGATTTTCTTAGAAGAAATGAAGAACGAAGTCACTACTGGAATTAAATGTCTTACAAATGTCAATGAGGCCTAGAGAGGCCCCTACATTTGGCAAGCAGGGAACTAACAACTTTATGAGGTACATTCAGTGGAGTAGAGAGAGTGGAAGTCTGGTCCCATTCACCCAAAGAATGGAAAGTAAACATCCTCCCCAAGTAAGAAAAGGCAAGGGTCACAGACTTATTTCTTCAAGGTACACAGTTGTTCATCAAAGGAAACACACAGGGTCAAACTAAAAGTATGATGTAGAAGAAAGTTAAATCTGTGTGTGCACACGTGTGTGTTCAGTATGAAAACAATTTAAGCATGTGTTTAGAAAGGAAAAGAAAAGCAAAAGAAAGAAAATGTGTGAAGGTGGATGGGAAAGAGAAAGGAAACTGTTGGAAAATATCCTAGCAGGAGAGGGACAGATCACAAGAACTCCACAAAGAGAATAATCTTGCTGGACACTAGGCATTCTTCCTAGAGCCTGGAGGCGAGGAAGAGAAGACAGAGGAGTTTCATGTCCATGAAGCATAAAACAGCAGAGAACCTTTGTGCTCTTTGGGACAGAAGCAAGGCCATCTGCCTAGAGCCACAGGCACCTATGGGGAATG